GTCTTCTGATAACCTAGTTGCCTTGTCTTCAGCCTCCCAGCGCCCGGTCGGTGTCCCCCCCCCCCCCGCAAAAGTCAGCAGCACGTTCTTGTTGCCCAGCGGCGGGAGCGTCTCGTTCCCCCAGTGCGTGGTCCCGTTCCTGCGCGAGCGACGCGCGACCCGCGCTTTCTCGTCTTGGGCGCCGACGCCGTGTGGCTGGAGCCCTGCGGGGTCCTGGGCGTGGGTGCGAGGCTTTGCGGGGTTCAGGCACCCTGCCCCGGCCTCCGCCCTAGTCCAGTCCCGTCCCCTGTCTTGGCCTCTGCAGCGGCTGGGCTGGTGCTGCTCTAGGTGCAGGCAGTTCACCACGGACCGACGCTTTGACCAGCCCCGGTAGCGCATGCGCAGTGCTCTCAACTGTCAGCGCCCCACGGGACCCCACTCCCACTGCTGCGCTTCCCGTGTGTGAACGTGAGGGACTCAGACTACACGTGCCCTTTTGTGTCTGGCCTCTTTCTCTCAGCATCATGTCTTCAGGATGCCCCCAGGTTGTACATGTGTCTCCTTCGGCTGTCTTACTTGGCTGAGTGGCACCTGGCTGTGGGAATGCACTCTCGACCTGCGCATCCCTGACTTTGTTAGCAGACGGTCACGTTGTCTCCGCCTTTGCCGGCCAGGAGCCCCTGTTCTTTGGTTGTTACTTCACTCTCTTGATGGTGTCCTTTCAGGCACTGAAGGGTTTTTTTGTTTGTTTGTTTGTTTGTTTTTTATGGTTTTGGCTTTTACGATTAGGCCTTTGATCCATTCTGAGTTAATTTTCTGTGTATGGGGTGAGGTGGGGGTCCAGCTTCATTCTTTTGCACATGGACGTCCAGTTGTCCCAGCTCCATCGTTGAAGAGACTGTTTTTTGCCCCATTGAGGGGGCTTGGCCTGCAGGTAGAAAATCAGCCGATGATGAATATAGGGGTTTATTTCTGGATCCCAGTTGGCTGTCAGTCAGCCAGTCTACCCTTATGCCAGCTAACAGAGTTTTGTGGTAAGTTTTGAAATTGGGAATTGAGTCTTCTACCTGTTTCTCAAGATTGTCTTTGGCTGTTTGGGACCCATTTAGTTGCAAGTGAATTTAAGGATTAGTTTTGCTGTGTCTGTGAGAAAGGCCCTGGGGGCGTGGATGGGCTGTGCTGACTGTGGAGCGCGGGCTGGCAGTGCTCATCCTCCCGCCTGCCGGCTGTCTTCTGTTTAACGGCGTTTCCTCTGCTGTGGTTTATTTAACAAGGTGTCATCCCGGCAGGGGTGTCCAGCCTCCTGGCGTCTCCGGGCCACACTGGAAGGAGAGAGTTGTCTCGGGCCACACGTTGAATGCACAAACACTAATGAAAACGCATGTGCGAGAACTGGGTCTGAAGTAGACGTGTGGCTTGTGTGGGGCCTTCACAGCCCTCCTGGGCCACGGGCCAGACGCCCCTGCCGCATGGTTTTCTGGGCCCCAGGCTGGCACCTCCATGGTTAAATGTATTCTGAGTCTGTTGGTCTTTTTGATGCTGTTATAAGAGGAACTGTTTTCTTAATTATATTTTCAGATTATTCATTGTTAGTGTATAGAAATGCAGCTGATTTTCGTGTGTTGACCTTTCATCATGTAACTGTGCACAGTGTTTCTTAACTGTAATAGTTTTTTGTGTATTCTTCAGGATTTCCTAAAGATGAGACCATGGCACCTGTGATAAGGGAGCTTTATTTCTTTCCAGTTTGGGGGCCTTAAGTTTCCTCTTCTGGAGCCCCACCACAGTGCTGGGGGGCAGTGGCGAGCGCAGCGTCCTGGGCTTGCTCCTGACCTTCCAGGGAAGCTCCTGGTCTTTCCCCTCAGGCTCAGAGGCTCACCATGGGTTTACAACATTTTATTTATTTATTTTTAGAGAGGGAGGAAGGGAGGGAGCAAGAGAGAGAAACGTGAATGGGTGGTTGCTGCTCACATGACCCCCACTGGGGACCTGGCCTACAACCCAGGCAGCACCCTGACTGGGAATCCAATCAGTGACCCTTTGGTTCTCAGTCCGGTGCTCACTCCCCTGAGTCACACCAGCCAGTCGCTGTGGGGTTTTAGTAATGGCTCTGGTCGGCTGAGGGAGTTTCCCTCTAATTCTAGTTTGTTGAGTGTTTTTATCACGGAAGAAAGTGTTCTTGCCCACCTGAGAAGACCGTGAGGCTCTGCCCGACTGCTTCTCTCACAGACTCCCCTCATTCCACCCCTCCTGCGTGCAGGTCCATCCCGCCCCCTCGACACAGGACCACTCTCCTGTCTCAGGGCGACCCTGGTGTCTCTCAGCACTCCTCACTGCACGGCGGGGTCCCGGGTTTCCCAGCCTGTCAGTTTTCAGCCGTCCATTTGTCCTGTAGCTCCATTTCCTACCACTGTCTATTCTCCCGAGGGTTTTGTTCTTTGGGGTTTGTGTGTATATGTATGTATAGACGTGTCTATATGTGTGTGTGTGTCTTTTAAGAAGCCCCACTTGAGAGCGTGTCTGGGAGAGAGCGGCAGCCAACAGCGCCTGTGCTCTGTCCACCGTGTCCATCCGGGAGTCCCTGTGTGGTCCCTTCTCAGAGCCTCTGGTGTCTGACCCGCTGTCTGCTCCTCCCTGTCGGCTCCTGCCCTGAGTTTATGACGGTCCAGTAGTCTCAGATTCTGCAGATGGCTGTTTGGGGTTGGCTGGCAGGAAATGCCAGGCCACCCTTTGGGCAGGAGAGGTGGTGCAGGATGAAGCTGTCTGTCAGCCTCTTAGGTGAGGCAGAGCCCTGAGTGCAGTGCTGCCCCTCAGCCACTGCTGCTTTGCACCCAGTGGCCGGTTGCAGGGCAGAAGGAGGGGCCACAGGTGGGCTCCTGGGCAGGTTGGAAGTAAGCAGTGATGGGGGCCACGCACAGCTGAGGCTTGTGCAGGACGGGCCTGGGCTGCAAGTGTGCCTGGCTAGTGTGCCAGGCGAGGCTGTGCTCCCGGCCACCTGCGGGGCAGTGTTGTGCAGTTGATTGGAAACTCTCATTTTCTTCTCCCCCATTTTCTAAATTTGGAACTCATTGCTGTTTTAACTGCTCACCAGACTTGATTTTCAGACGAAGGAGACTAGGCTAGCCCAGACCCTGTGGGTCCGTGTGTGAAACCACTGGGCCAGCCAGACCTGGGGGAGCAGAGGGAGAACACAGGTGACCAGCGCTCACACAGCCTTGTACTGTCACACGCTGCTTCATCCGCGCCTCGTGGCTCCTTGCTGGCTTACAGTTCGAGTTCTATTTATGATGAGGCATGCTGGTTGGCTGGCCACCCTGTCTCCCGTTTAGTTGTGTGGGGACACTCGGCCAGTGGGCACCTCTGGGGACTGTTGTTCAGGAGGTGAGAGCTGGGTTGCGGGTGCTTTCTGACAGTGGTGCTGGGCGCCCTGCAGGCCCCAGACTGTGTTGTGGGCGAGGAGGCGCAGGTCAGTCTCAGTGGGCGCACCGGGCTCCCAAGGGCTGCGGCCTGAGGACAGAGCTGCCTGCTCTGGCCCTGGACCTTCGGTCTCCTTGGTACAGTCTCTGTCGAAGTGACTGGAGGATGCAAGCTCTGTCTGGGCAGGAAAAAGATTGATTCGGTGATTTCTTTACTCATTCCTCAGGTCGCAGACCTTTTTAGCCAGGTGCCTTGTCTTTGGGGGGACAAGCACTACAGGGGTGGTGGGGAGATGGCATTCACCTCACCAGGGCAGATGCAGTGCTGCCACTGCGGTCCCCCATGTCACCCAAGTAAGCTGGGGTCCTGGCTAGGAGCGCCGGGAACCGGCTCCGGGCCCAGGGTGTGGGAGGCCAGTGCTCCGGGAGACTGGGCTGCTGTTATGTAAACAGATACAGTGGCCCCACCCCTTCCTGCTGTTCCATCACTTCCAAGAAAAGGAAAGAGACATCACATCTTGGCAAGAAGACGTCTTTCTGTGCAGAGTTGCTGCTGAAAATAGCAGACTTCTATTTTTTTATTCTGTTGTTCTAGTTATTTCAAAATGTGTCTTATGACAGCGGTGTTTGTGACAGCGGTTCTCCCTGTGCAGGCTAAGGTGTGTGAGCGCATGCACCTGCCGGCTGGCGCGGCAGGATGAGGTGCTGGGTCTTCCCAGGGGTCGCAGTGCCTGCTGGCTTGCTGAGAGCTCTTTGCACAGTGAGGGCAACAGCCAAAAGGGCCCAGCAGCCTGGTGCCCGCACTGCCTCACATCAAACAACTATTTTTTCTTTTTTTTAAAGCTTTAGAAAATTTAATTTTAGAGAGAGGGGAAGGGAGGGAGAAAGAGAGGGGAGAAACATCAGTATGTGGTTGCTTCTCATGTGGCCCCCACTGGGGACCTGGCCTGCAACCCAGGTGTGTGCCCTGACTGGGAATCAAACTGGCGACACTGGATTACAGCCCATGCTCAGTCCACTGAGCCATACCAGCCAGGGCTTATTTTGTCTTTTTGAAAGTAATATTTATTCAGTTAATTGTCACATAGCCAATACTTACTATTGAAAAAGCTCTAACAGGACTGAAGGGAGTAGGTGGAGTGTAGAAGTCTCACTCTCCACAGTTCGCCACTGAATATAGTGCAGTGTTTTCCTGGGTGTTTAAAGCCGCCCTTAGGTGTACATAGCGTCCTATGAAGCCCTTTCCCACATTTTCAGGTTATAGCTGCTTATTTCTGATTTGCTGTTTTAGACGATCAGTCACGTCCAAGGCTCCAGCCTGAGTGTGAGTCAAGTGTTTGGGAACACCACTGCGCTGCTCTGAAATGAGCCCGAGCTGTGGGGCTGGTTCCCGTGTGTCACATGGCAGAAGCGATGCCAAGGAGCAGGGTCCTGAGGACATGGTCACATCTCACCCAAGGGCGACTTTTTAAATCTATAGGCAGAGATAACTAATGTTCTTACCAGTCACTACATTGTTTGATTGTAACAGAATTAAGATTCTGAGCAGACATATTATGTTATAATTTAGTACTGCATCTTTTTAGTACTGATTTTTAAAGGGGCATCTTGGAGTTGGTTTTAGAAGTTGGTGTCATTCACGAGGACCAGTGATGACGCACCTGGATGTACGTGTGGCCCCTGTGGAGCTGAGCGCTGGGCGATGGAGGTATGGTGAGGCTGGAGCGGCTCAGTGGGTGGGTGTGTCTATCTGGGCCACACCCCCTTTCCCTCTGCATAGTCCTCAGGGACCACCTTCCGGCAGAGGCACCAGCTGGCCTTCGCCGTCAGCTCCGATGCCCTTCCCTGCCCCTCCCCAGGGCTCTTGGCAGGTGGCGGTTCCTGGAGCTGCGCCCAGAGCTGGGACGGGTTCTGTCTGTCACTGTCCCCTTGGATAGTACTTCTCTCTGTGTGCAGGTTCTGAAGGAGGGGTTCAGGGGCTGCCTGCCATTTAAACGGGTGCAGAGGCGGTTCCTGGGGCTCCTGGTCAGACAGCTACATTGGTCATCCTGGACAGCTGGGCTCACTCTTGTCTCCATCCCCTTCATCAGCGACCAAATCAGCTCCTGGGCAGCCCAACGTGTGACGCATTGACCTCTGCAGACAGCACCTGGTGTGCTGTCAAAGAAGCGCCACCTGCTGGGGTTGCGCTGGGGGGTGTGGCAGTGGAAGGAGGCCGCCTGGCACTCCGGCCTTTCCTGAGAAGATGGGGTGCAGACCCTGGCAGTCTTGTCATCCTTTGGCTGCGCCATTTGCTTGAAGCTGTTTTCAACTCTGTGTGACTGGAGGTGTTTGTGATTTGTCAGGAGTGTTTTCTGTCACTGGCGAGTACAGACACCCTGAGGAGCTCAGAGTTGAGTCCCATGTGGTGGGAGAGCTCAGCTCCCTGTCGACAGAGGCGTCCGAAGCCACAGTGGAGCTGCATGTTTCCATCGGCCCCACGCGATGGTGGTGTGACCAGATGCGCTAGGAAAGGCAGGGGTGTTAAAGGAGAAACCCAGTGTGGCATAAGGAGAAGCTTAGCTTCACTCTTAAAGCCCTGCTAGGACTTGTGTGTTTGTAAAGATGCTGAATTCCTGCAGTCTGTGACCAGAGTTTGGTCCTGTCCTCTGGCCTGCGCTGCCAGCCTGGGTGGCCTCCGCCAGTGAGGATGGGAGGGGGACCTCAGGAGGCTGCCCTGCTGGTGCCTTCCCCTCCATGTGAAGGTGGCTCTCAGCCCACCGTCTCCTGGGGCGCATGCTTTTCCATGCTCGGTGTGGCGGCTCAGAATTGACCGTGTCCATCCTACAAAAGTGCTCTTGTACAGGGGCCCTGTTGCTTCACTGCTGGGCTGAGCAGCCGGGCGTCCTGCCCACTGTGAGCCCAGCTGCTGTGCCTCGTGGGCACGTGTGGGGGGGCAGTGGCCCTCGACCTGTCCCTCCTGCAGCCTCACTGGACCAGGTCTGTGACAAGGTCACACCAGGGCAGGGGTCAGGAAAGGGAGGACAGTGATGCCTGAACAGGGCCCCTGTGTCACTGGGGATGCTCTCCAGGACTTTCCGGTGCTGCCAGAACGTGTGAGCCCCTCCTTCACCTGAACAGGCACAAGCTGGCCATGGCCCTTGGGGCTGCTGTGCAAACAGGGAGGCTCCAGATGCTGCCTGAGGGCTTTGACTAGCACGTGTGTGCAGGGAGACTGAACGGGGGGAAAGGCCTTGCCTGCAGCTCAGATGTGCTTCCCAGCGAGGGCTGGAGTTGGCCTCTGAGCTGCACACTCCGAGTCAGGCCAGCCTGGTGGCCTGGCGGACTGGGCCTTTCCTTTAGGCTGGGGGCGGGTGACTCTTGCATCTCAGGGAGTGCTAACTCAGAAGAAAGATTCTGTTCTTTTTTCAAATTGAAAGCACAGGCTGTATCTCCTTATTTTGCCAAATGAAAGCTAGTATCAGAGGGGGTGTCTGTCCTATGGGAGGCATGGCCGTCAAGGCACTATTTCATTTCCCCCTTTTGTACTTTATTTTACCCTGTACTTTCATTTAAGAATCTTGTCTTAGAGTGGGGACTGACACCTGACTTTAAAGTGTTCCGACCTGCCTCGACCTGTGGGTGGGATGGGGCGGGGCAGTGCACAAGCTGCAGGGCTGAGGGAGGGGCAGGGCCTGTGTGTTGAGAAGCAGTGAGACAAGTCCCATCACCAGCCAGGGCCGTGGCATCCACGGCCACGGCATCCACTGCCCCAGAATCCCGCTCCACAGGGGCCCATCCTCCGGCCCTTCTCTGGGACGGAGCCAGCCTTAGGCCTGCTCTGGGCTGGACACACCTCCCAGGTGGATGTGAGGTAGAACTCCATGCCAGTGGGAACAAGGGCGGCAGGAGCCTGGCCGCCTGACCACGCCCCCTGGAGCTGTGGTGGCAGCACAGTGACCAGTGGTTGGTGACCATGATCTCTCCTGGCTTCCTTTCCTCTGGCCCGCTGCCTGGGTCAGACTCAGGTATGTGTCCACCGCTACTCCATCTGTGTTTGGTGGCTCTTCGGGCATTTTATTACATTTATAGCTATTTTTACCAAAAACCTACCACTGTCTCTGTCATTCAGCTGTATCTTCCTGTTGTCACTTGTAGGATTTTTCAGTCTGTCCCTGCCATAATCCTACTGCATGACCAGTAGTGGCCCTTGGCACTTTGGTAGAATTCTGTTTCAGAAGAGAAGCTAAGCCTGGCCAGAGCTGGTGTGGCACAGAGCCGTATCTCCCGACCAGAAGGAAGGTGGGAAGTGTGGGTGTAGCAGGTCCTACACCCCCCATGCCTCTTGAAAACACCATTTGTTATGCACCAGAAACTAATCAGTATGCCTCTCTTCGGTGGATGTGGATGTGATGACATACTAACATGACTTTTAAAAACGAAGGCTGTAGGTTAACACTCTCGAGTGCGTCCCCCTGCACCAGTCTCCGAGTTGCGAGCAGAACGCTTTACCCTGCAGGGCCCTGATGCCCCTCTGCCACGGTCCCTCACTGAGTGCTGTCACTCGTCTGTAACACTTATTCTGTAATCCATTCCAGGCAGCACTCAGCTCACAGAGCACTCACCATATCCTCAGGGGGCGCTCGGGGGCATTAGTCACCTGGGGCTCTGTGATGGGTGGTAATACAGGCCTGGTGACAGCGAAGTGAGGGACCACTTCAGGAGGCAGCTGGGAGCTTTGGGTTTCATCCGGGTGCAATTAAAAGGGAATTTAGAATGTGCACCACTTGTGGGTACTTTGTCAGCCAGCCCGGACTGAGAGCAGCCACCTTGCCTGGAAAAGTTCTTCTGAAAAAGTTTCTAAAAAGAGTTTGTTAAGAACTTCCAGTCAAGATGGAGGCATAAGTAAACACACTTTGCCTCCTTGCACAACTACAGAAAAAAACTACGAAGGATCTAAAGAAGCCACATTTGTCCAGATGGGTAGGAGGGGCAGAGACACAGCGTGGCATGGAGAAGTGACGGAACGAGTGGTCCGACATTCATGTATGGTGGAAAACTGAGAGGGACACCTCGGGAGCAAAGGAGCCCAGGCCAGACCACACAGTCCAGGGCTCCGGCCTCAGGAAGATGAATCCCCGTAACTCCTAGCTATAAAAACCCATGGGGGTTGGGGGGAGCTGAAGAAACTGTTGGGTTTTCAGGAGACTCCTCTTAAAGGGCCACGTGGACTTAGGACTTACCCACACCCACCCCCTCTGAGATTCAGCATCAGGGCAACAGCTGGAAGGGCACCAGTGGCATAGTGGTGAAAGGGAGTAAGTGAAGTGACTGGAAACAGGGAGAGGAGGGGGAGACAACTTTCTCCTGGACAAATCTCCAGGAGCCAGGCCCGGTGTTGTCCACTCTCTGAGCCCTCCTCTCCCACAGAGCCACAGGGCGTGAAGTGGGCCAAGTCCTGGCAATTGCCTAACACTCTGCCCCATACAGTTTACAGGTGATGTTAAAAAAAATGTATAGAGAGCCATCAATGTGTGGTTGCCTCTCATGTGGCCCCCACTAGGGACCTGGCCAGCGACCCTTTTGTTCACAGTCCATTCATTGCTCAATCCACTGAGTCACACCAGCCAGGGCTACAGGTGCCTTTTCTACAACAGGTGCCTTTTCTACTAAGACAGGGAGTCAAAACAACTCCACCCAATACACAGAAACAGACACAGCAAGGGTGTCAAATTGAGGGGACAAAGACGATGGCCCAAATGAAGGACCAGAACAAAATCCAAAAAAAATAACTAAACAAAACTATCAGATGCAGAGTTCAAAACCGCGGTTATCAGGACGCTCCAGGAACTGATTGGGTACTGCAACAGCAAAAGGACCCAGGCAGAAATGAAGGTTACACTAAGTGAAATAAAGTAATATGTACAGGGAACCAACAGTGGAGGGGATGAAGCTGAGATTCAAATCAATGATTTGGAGCAGAAGGAAGGAAAAAGCATTCAATCAGAGCAGGAAGAAAAAAGAACTAAACAAAAACAAGGACAGTCTAAGGCACAGGTGGCAAACACAAGGCCCGCGGGCTGAACCCGGCCTCCACCTTGTTTTATCCAACCCGGCACCTTGTTCTACCCAGCAGCAGTGCCGAGCTCTCGCTTAACTGTTAAGGAGTAGCCGCATGTATCTAATCCTAAAGTTACATTGGGCCCTTTGAAGGTAACCACGAGGCTGATATGGCCCCTGGTGAAAATGAGTTTGACACCCCTCATAAGGAACCTCTGGGATAGCTCCAGATGTACCAACACCTGAATCATAGGGGTGCCAGATGGAGAAGCAGAAGAGCAAGCAACTGAAAACTTATTTGAAAAAATAATGAAAATTTCCCTAATTTGGTGAAGGAAATAGGCATACAAGTCCAGGAAGCCCACAGAGTCCCAGACCCGTTGGATCCAATGTGGACCACACCAAGACACATCATAACTAAAGTGCCAAAGTTTAAAGGCAGACAATCTTAAAAGCAGCAAAATAAAAGCAGAACGTTACCTACAAAGGCGTTCCCGTAAGACTCTCAGCTGACTTCTCAAAAGAAACCTTGCAGGCAAGTAGGGGTGGAACAAAGTATTCAAAGTCATGAAAGTCAAGGACCTACATCCAAGATTGCTCTATCCAGCCAAGCTCTCATTTAGAATGGAAGGGCAGATAAAGTGCTTCTCAGAAAAGGTCAAGTTAAAGGAGTTCGTCATCACCAAGCCCTTATTATATGAAATGTTAAAGGGACTTATCTAAGAAAAAGATGAAAACTGTGAACATTAAAATGGCAACAAATTCACAATTACCAACAACTGAATCTAAGCAATGAAGCAAACCTGCAGAACAAGAACAATCACAGAAATGGAGATCACATGGAAGGTTATCAGTGGGGAGGGAGAGGGGGGAAAGGTACAGGAAATAAGAAGCATCAGTAGTAGGGACAAAACAGACGGGGAGGTTAAGAACAGTATAGGAAATGGAAGCTAAAGAACTCAGGTGTACCACCCGCCTGGCTGGTGTAGCTCAGTGGATTGAGCACGGGCCTGCAAACCAGAGCATCTCAGTTCCATTCCCAGTCAGGGCACATGCCTGGGTTGCAGGCCAGTTCCCAGCGGGGGACGCATGAGAGGCAAGCACACATTGATATTTCCTTCCCTCTCTCCTTCCCTTCCCCTCTAAAGATAAATAAATAAAATCTTTAAAAAAAAAAAAAAGAACTTGTGTACGACCATGGACATCAACAAAGGTGGGGAATGCTGAAGGGAAGGGGGTTGCCGGGTGGAGGGGGTAGAGGGGGAGGAATTGGGACAACTGTAACAGCACAATCAATAAAATACATTTAAAAAATAAAGAGCCACTCACACACCCCAGAGGATAAACAATGGCAGGGCAAGAGCACCTTCGTCAGTGCAGCAGTGACGGTTGCTTAGCGAGCCACCACTAAACACCATGTGGGCGGAAGCCCTGAGTGCCCTGCAGCTGGGTGTGGCTCTCCCCTGCCCCAGGAGGGAGGAGACCCGGCCCCACTGATTCCTGCCATCTGGGCTATTGTAAGGGGAGGAGACCCAGACTAGGTTGGGGTGGGGGACCTCTTGGGAATTGTTCTTCAGAGGGTGTGAGCTGGCCCTGAAGGGTGGGGTAGAGCAGACAAAGGGGGAGCGAGGCCACGGAGCAGATCCCTCGTGACGCCGTCAGTCAGTCAGTGGATTTGCAGAGCGAGGGCAGGTGAGGAGGCCCACGTACTCTGTGGGGCTGGAGGCCTGGCCGGTGGGGCTGCAGACCCAGGAAATGGCTTTCACAACGCAGGAGTGATTGTTATTCGTGAGGTTAGTAAGCGCAGGAAAGTGTTTATATATAAACTGAGAACTTGATTTTTTTAAAGGATGTTTGGACTTAAAAGAGAGAGAGAGAACCCACAGACCGGGATGGCAGCACGGTGGCTGTAGGGGGGGGCGGCTGGCGGTGGAAGAGCACTCGGGGGTGGTGGGTGGTGGGTGCTGGCGGGGAAAAGCTTTGGGGCCGTTTCAGAGAAAGTGCTGTGGATCGAAGTGCATCTGTCCTGGCTTGTAGAATCAGTGATTAATTTAATTTCATTCAACAATTCAGTTTATTTAAATGAAGAAGCAACAAACCCAAACAGTTCACCCATTTCCCCCTCCCACCTCTAGCAGCCACCAGTCTATTCTCAATTATAATTTTTTTGCTTATTTATTTTTAAAAGTTTTTAATTTTTTAATTAATAAACATTTATTTTTAGAGCGAGGGGAAGGGAGGGAGGAGAGGGAGAGAAACGTCAATGTGTGGTTGCCTGTTACACACCCCCTATTGAGGACCTGGCCCACAACCCAGGCATGTGCCCTGACTGGGAACTGAACCGGGTACCCTTTGGTTTGCAGGCTGGCACTCAGCCTACGGAGCCACCCCACCTGGGGCTGAGTGTTGGAAACTAGTTTCTCCAAGAGACTGTGTCTGTCTGGCTTCCTTCACTCAGCAAAACACCCTCCCAGTCCACAATGCCATCTGCAAACAGCCAGGTCTCTCTCCTCGGCCAACTGCTCCCTTTGTCCCGTCGCCCCCCCCCCCCCACCAGGCAATGGGCACGTGGCTGCTACCTTGTGCTGCAGAGACCGGGCGGGGGTGGGGGGGCATGTGTTTTTGAGTTAGTGTTTTCATCTTCTTTGGATAACCTTAAAACTGCTTTAACTGTTGAGTGTGCGTGCTGTGCCCGCTGTGGCTACCCCAGGCTGCGCCCCACTGCACACGCGTTCTGTTGTCCCTTGTCGTTTGGGTGTCAGCTGTGCTGGCTGGTGTGAGGTGAAGCTCCCCACAGTCTGGGTTTGAGTTTTCCTGGTGGGGAGCGATGTTGGGCACCTGCTCGTGTGCCTGCCAGCCACCTGTGTGTCCTCTTCAGGAAGATGTCTGTCCAGTCCTCTGCCTGTTGGTCAGTTGCGTTATTGTTGTTTTGCTGTTGAGTCATATGAGTTCTTTGTGTATTTTAGATACTAAGCCCTTATCAGGTTTGTAAGTGTTTCCTCCTGTTTGGTCGGTTGTCTTTTCATCCCATCCATCTGTTCGTTGGTTCCTTCCTTTGCTATGTGGAAACTAATTCGCTGTGGTTCCGCTGGTGTGCTGTTGCTTGTGGAGTCATAGCCGGGAAGTGAGCCCCGAGACCCCGTCAGGGAACTCCTCTCACTGTCCAGGCCCTTGTTCAGGCCCTGCGTCCGCCAGAGCCGGGTCTGTGGTCAGTGTCTGAGAGCGGTCTGGTTTCACTCTTCAGCAGAGACTGTCCAGTCTTCCAGCCGTTCACTGAAGAGGCTGTTTTTCCTGTTGTATGTTCTCGGCCTCTTTGTTGTAAACTGATTGGTTGTGCACATTGGGGTCACTCCCTGCTCTGTTAGGAGAGCCTGTGCGGCTGTTTTCATGCCCGTGCTGTGCTGCATCGGTTACTGGCGCTCACTGATACAGTTGGGACCCTCCACTCGGCTCCTTCTCAGGGTCGCTTGGGCTACTCGGGGTCTTCTGTGCTTTCATGCACATTTTAGGATCGTTCTGTTTCTATAGAAATCAGTCATTTGTACATATATATTTTTTGTCCACAATGGTCTTTTTTTAACTTTTATCTTCCTTTAGATTATTCAACCACAGATTAGGACACACATTATTACTATGAGCTTTTTAAAAAAAAACTTGGAGTGTGTTGTGTGTATTTGTGAGAGAGAGAGTGTTTTCAGCCAGAGGAAAGCTGGAGTTGTTGCAATGACATCAAGAGGACAACCTGAGAAACAGTGTGCTCAACACTTTAATTTAAAAGTAATGTTTTCTTTTGGGGAAAAATAGTAAACAATGCCTTAGCTCACGTGTTGTTCACCTCCAGTTTTCTGACTCTGAGATGCTTCTCTGGAACAGCGTGTGGGTGCCCTGACCGGGCAACCAGAGTGTGCTGTTTCCGTCAGCAGCAACGAAAACCTGTTCCAGAAGAAGGGGGACATTTGACACCTTTGGGAGTTTGCAAATACGTTCGCAAAGGGTTCTCAGTTACTCCCACCATGCTTTTGGAAGTGCACCAGTTTTCATGATTATGAGTCTGTTGATCTGGGGTCTCCCCTGGTGCTTCCAGGGGCACATGTTGCAGGGACCGGGCAGAGCAGCAGTGTCCCTGTGCCCCTCCCCTTCGTTTGCAGCCAGAGCTGCTCGGCCGGCTCTGCCCAAGCCCCATGGGGCCAACCGCCACCCGACCCCGCCTGCCCGTCCGTCAGTATGCTGTGGCCCTAACTCCCTGCCTTGCTCTCTCCCACCCTCTGCAGCATGACCTGAGACCGCAAGCATGGACTTTTCCCGGCTGCACACGTACACGCCGCCTCAGTGTGTGCCTGAGAACACCGGCTACACGTATGCACTCAGGTGAGCGCGGCGGCATCTGGCCGCCTCTTGGGTGCTGAACAAGCGGGCCTCGGTGAGACTTGCAGCCACAGGTCACATTTAGAGAGAGAAATGTCTGTGAACGTTGTGAGGAACCCCACCTTCGTGAGATTACCAGACCGACACAGAGATGTGCGGCTGCTTGGCACACTGTGTGACTCCCTCACTGTGGAGGAATCCCGTTTCAGACCCTACCCCAAGGGCTGCGCCCCGAGGAGGGTGTGCAGTGGCGGAGAGGGTTCTGTGATTGCTGTGAGCAGCTGGGCGTTTCAGAGCTGTCGCGAGGTCATGGGAAGAGGAGGCTCCCACAGGACCGACGCAGCCTGGGTATCAGGAGCTGGGCTTCCTCCTACCAGAGTCCCATGTTCTCGCCCTGCGTGTCGCTGAGGCTCGAGGCTGGAGTCTTGTGCTTGCTGACTTACCCTTCACGTCTAGTGCATGAGTAGAAAGGATGACTGAAAGGAAACTTTGGTATCACAGAATCCTGGGTTAGTGCTGAAGGAGAGTCCATTGCCACATTGGCCAAGATGGGACTGGTGGTTAGAAAGCCTTTGCATCCCATCAAATGTCTGAGGCCCACACGACAACGTGGTGTGGTTTTCCAGTGGCTTGTCTTTAACGGGTAAAAATGTGATGGAAGTGTTAAAAATATTGGAGGGTATTCTTTTTTATTCTGGGGAGAGGGAGAGAAACATCGATGGGCTGCGTTAAGAACACTGTGGCAGCATCAGTCCAACCTCACACTCGAGGACCGTGTGGTTTTACCCGCAAATCCAGTCCCCGTTGCCCTGTGCACAGCGACACGCTCTCTTCGGCTGGAGCTCCCGTGGCATTTTCGAGCAAACCGAGTGCACTGGCGCCAGTGCGCAGTTCCGTGTTCCGCGCTGTGCGGCCTGTCGCCCACCTGGTTTCTGAAAGGAAGGAGGCGGCGGCAGGCCGGCCTGGCTTGCGTGGGTGGTGCTGGGGCGTGCGCAGGCCCCAGGGCCCGCGGAGGGTTAGACGCTGTTCTCCCCTCGCTGCCACTGCTCCTGGGGACAGCTCCAGGCACACAGCCTTCACCTGAGAGGCCTCTGCTCAGTATCCTGACGCTGTGTCCAGTTCACTGACACGTGTTCCTGCCAGGGAAACTGGCAAGCGGGGCGACACTCTGGATCCTGGGAACAAATCCCTTGGCGTCTCCCCCTCACCCCTTCCCAGTAGGTTGCTTTGAAGCAAATCTCTAAAGACGTCACTCTACCAAAGAGCCCCTAGCGATTGAAAGTAACTCCTAGGCACTTCCTCCTGCAGCAGACACTCATTTTCTTTGAACCGCCGTGAAAAGGAAGACCAGCCTGAATGGGACTCCCAGATTCTGTCGGGTGCGCTGGTCTGACGCTTTACTCTGTACTTCCCGGAAGTTGCAGTGAGATGTGGAGATTTGGTCAGTTGCAGGTCTCCCTTTGTTTGTTGCCATGACTACAATGTGGAAGGGACTTCCTGTTTCTCCAGCAGAGGTGCGTTTGTGGTGTCCGCTTGTCCCCTCCGGTGTGGAGGTTGGTCTGTGTCACCTGCTGGCCTCGCACCCTGGAGTCCCACCACTTCTCAGGTGATAGGTGAGGCCACCCTGGAGAGCGAGCCCCTGGTCAGGGTCAGGGAGGCCCTGTCCCCGGCGCCCCCAAGGCCTCCCATCGGGGGGTACACTGTGCAGGAGAGGGGGGCTTTGGCTGTCAGTCTCTGGGGAAGTCGGTTTTCAACCACAAAGAAAGGCGGGGGAAAGGGCCGTGGTTTGCAGAAGAGGACAGAGTACCTGGAGGAGCCAGAGCTGTAAGCTGCCAGCAGATGCTGCTGGAGGCCACGCTGGACGAGGCCCAGTCCTCTGCGAGCTCAGCCCACAGGGGTCGCTGACCCAGCCAGCCGTGCGGCACGAGGTGGGCGGGGAGGGAGTGTGGGCACCTCTTCCAACACGGGGCTGGTAAGGGCGGGGAAGGGGCGCGCTGCACGCCGTTTTGTCCCGTCTCACCAGGGGGAGGCTGTGGGCGTGTGCAGCACCCGTGGTGAGGAGCCCTGGGAGGGGCTGTCTGAGATGCTGCCTCCTCTCTGCTGGGGAGACAGAAGCAGGGCCAGAAGTGGGGGAGTGGCACTAGGGGTGAGGAGGGGCAGACAATGGTGGCTCTGACCACCAGGCACCAGGTGACCCCATGGTTGCCACACAGGAGCGAGGACCTGTGAGGATGGGGGCAGAAGGGAGGGACCCAGACCTCCTGGTGGCTTGCAGTGGGCTAGAACTGAGCAGAGAGCTAGGGAGCTCCAGTGGGGACCTGGCCAGGCCCAGGGACAGAAGGCCAGCGGGGTAGGGCATCGCAGCTGGGAGGCTGTGAGGCGGGAGGACGGGAGACCGGTCCAGAGGGTGATGAAGGAAGGAGTGTGAGGCTGGCCCAGGGACTTCAGCACACTGCTGTTGGGCCAGACGCTCCAGGGTGCGAACCTCTGTACCCCGACTGCATGCAGTCGGAGCTGGAGCCATCGGTACACAGGCCTGCTCTGCCTGCCGCCCACTTCCCAGCTCCAAGCTGCCCAGTGCCCGTGGTTCTTTGGCTTTTAACTGCAGGAGGCGTTTCAGTCTTATAGTTGAAGTGCATCGGAACAGACTTTTAAGAGAGCTGTGGGCTTCGGCGCTTGTCATGGGCTCTGGGAAGAAGTGATAACGGGTACTGAGGTGCCACTGTGACCCTCAGGGCCCATTCTCCTGTGAAGTCTAATTAATCCACACAGTTTCATCGGGAAAACAAGGGATGTGTGCCTGTAATCAGGCATAACTAATGGGAGAAACAAACTGTGGCCTTTGGCTCAAGGGTGGGGCTAATGGTGCCTCTGGGGCTTTGTGTTCTCTGAGTTACGCTTCATGTCTATTTCATGTCCTGTTGTGTCCCTCAGGGCCTTCTGTCCGCCCCTGGGCTGCACACCTCTGTTTACAGCTCTGTGCCACCCTCCCCACCCGCCCCCACTCGCCTCCCCCCCAGCCGCCTCCCCCCACCTCACAGAAAGGCAGTGAAGTCCTCTCAACACCACCCTTGGCACTTGTGGGGCCTGGTGGGGCCTGGCACCTTGTGGCCCCTTCTGCAGATACTTGGGTCACTCCCTGGGTCCTGGGTGCCTCTCTGGAGCTGCCTGTTTCACAGGGTGGTTGGGACCCCACCCCAGGGACGGACAGCAGGCCCTGGGGGATGGGCTGATTTCACTCCCCATCCCCTGTCCTCCCCTGCCCTCCCCTCCCCTCCCGTGCCGCCTTTAGCTCTCGGGGCTGGGCATCTCTGTGACCAGTTTGAAAAGAACCTTCCAGGTCTCGCTGTGTGTTCTGTGTGGACAGATGTTCCCTGCAGTGTGGACTGGACGCAGGACCCTGGAGCACTTCCTTCCTCACTTGCCCGAGCCTTGCAGCTGCCTGTGAGAGCAGGTGTAGCCCTCCCAGGTGTCGGGCAGCCTCGGGCTGGGGAAGCCAGGGTGGGTCCTGTTTGTCCTCCTCCCCAAAGGTGGGTGGTCTGCTTCGCTGCTGCTGTGGCATCCCTCTTCCCAGTCAGTGCTCTCTGCGAACTGCAGGCCTGGAGCCCCCTTCTGATGGCAGAGGCTTCAGGGCTCCGTGCCAGGGAGGCAGGGCCCACGCACCCGAGGCAGCGCCAGTGTGCCTTCTGGTCTGGGGCTTGGACAGGGTGGGGCAGGCCTGGACGTCACTGGTGTGTCCTGATGTCAGGCTCGTGAAAGACTGTCCTGTATGCCCAGTGTGGGGTCCACACCTATAGGATGGACTCCAATCTGAAATAACGTGCTTTTCCTACACCAGCACTGTAGTCATGTGCACTGTCCCTGGAAGGAAACTGCGGATGTTCCAGTTTACACTCATCTCAGGCCCTTGGCGTCCCCGCCACACCCCGCACGGCTCCGTGCCGTGGGCTGCTCCAGCAGCCTCCGAGGGGGGCATGGCGTGTCACACCCCTGTTATCAGGGACACCAGTTGCGTCACTCACTGTGGCTGTGATCGCACGTGTTCTAGTGTTGGATCTAATGAGGTTAGGAGGAGTCTGATTCGGAAACTGCTTGTGTGAAACAGAGATACACAGACACGTCCCTAAGCCCATTCCCTTCCCTCAGGTTTCCAGGTCCGTCCCGTGGATGCCCCTGACGCTGCTCCCTGTCATCAGCAGGTGTGCCTCCCGGGCGTGCCTAACACTCCCGGGCTCCCTGCCGGCCAGGTGGCCCTCACTGTCAGGAAACCCTCCTCCATGTCCTCTCCCCTCTTCCTGCCCCTTCTCACGGGCCCTGTGCACAAGCCCCCCTCCCCGTGGGGTGGGGAGGTCACCTCCTGCAGGTGTGACTCCTCAATGGTGGTGACCCTGTAACTCAGGGCTCCCACCCGCGGGGCGGTGGCCTCACAGGGAACAGTGAGGTTTGGGAACTGGCTGCACCGCTGCACAGCAGGAGGGGAGCGGAGGGCCTGCTAGCCTGAGCTCCACCTCCTCTCCCTTCATCCACGTGGAAAAGTTGTCTTCCACAAAACTGGTGCCTGGTGCCAGAAAGGTTGGGGACAGCTACTGCGGTGTGAGTCCTGAGTGAGGGGTTCTCTGCGCGTGCCCAGACCTGGACCAGCTGGCCAGGAGAGGAGGTGTGGCCCCATCCCAAAGGCAGCCCAGAGCGGGTGTTCAGTGAATGTCTCTTGATCTGGAAAAGCCTGCTGACCGCACAGAGGACACACCCTTCAGTGAGTCCTTTGTCAAGGGTGTGTCTCTAGCTGAGGAAAGCTAGAGGCCCAGCAGCCTGGTGGTTCAGTTACCCGCCCCTCCTGTTTTGCATCCACAGGTCTGCTGGGTGACTGTGTGTCCGGGGCTCCCTGCCGTGGTGTAGTCACTGTCTCTTCACCGCATGAGCAGGTGTAGGCTGACATGCTGGCCCTCAGGTGGGGTCCTCGTGAACTTGGCATATTGTGAAACGAGTCTCAGGGTGGCCCTGGGCTTCCACACCGGGCACCCAGGGCACTGACCTCACAGGCACTGGTGTGGGTGCCAGCTTATCATGCTTTTGGAAAAGTCGTCACACTGTAGTGGCTGTTCTTAACAGCTCACCATAGGTCACACGTTGTGGCCACTGTTGCTTCTGCCATTGCAGAAATGGTGCCATGAGTCTCACTGATTTCTGACATGTTTTTTCTTCCAGTTCAAGCTATTCTTCGGACGCTCTGGACTTTGAGACGGAGCACAGACTGGACCCCGTGTTTGACTCTCCCAGGATGTCCCGACGCAGTTTGCGCCTGGCCGCCACCGGGCGCGGCATGGAGGGCGGCCAGGCAGGGCACACAGACACCTGCCCCAGCAGTACAGCCTCCCTGAGGGACAGAGCAGCCAGGTGAGCCCCGTTCCTCTTCACTCTTGCACGTGCAAGGCACACACGCTGGGCTGCGGGACTGCTCTGTGGAGCAGAAGGCCGAGTGCGTGCACAGAGGCCCTCACGGTGTCCAGGCTTTGCTGTGGGCACAGCCTCTGCGACGTGGGGGTGCGGGTGCTGGTGTTCTGCCGCCAAGGCTTTTCTGCTCCAAGACCCCGGAGAGGGCGTGGGCGCCCGCCCTGCGCCGCCTCAGGCTGTTCAGAGGTGGGGCTGGGGCAGAAGGCCTGCTTACTCAGCTGCTGCCAGATGGGTGCGTGCAGGGACGGGCAGCTTGCCTGCTCATCACCCCCAGTGCGCCTATCACCGCATCTGTCAGGAGCCAGGTGGGGACGGCCCATCGTGAGTGCGACAGCCCTGTGGCTGACCTCGGGGGAGGGACCAGCCTGTTTCCTGGAAGGGCCCTGTCAGGACCAGGGACAGTACACGCCCCTGGAGGTCACCTCAGGGTTTATTTAGAGATGGAGGCTCTGCTCCTCCATCCTGGGGTTTGCGAAGGGGCCGTAGGCAGTCCCAGCGCGGTGCGCAGCGCGAGGACACCCAGCTGGGCCTGGGCCTCCCGACGCCGCGCTGAGGTGAGGCTCTGTCCAAGCCGCCTGCTCTCACCCATGAGGTCCCGGCAGCAGTCTGTGGTGCCCACCGTGCTCGTTTTCCAGGCCCTGGTGTCTGTCGCTCATGCCCGAGATGAGGGTGGACGTGACGTCAGAGGACAGCCTTTGCTCGCTGGACTGAGTGCAGCTCGGTCTCTGCTGCCGGGAGACGAGGAGCAGGAGCGCACGCATGTGTGGTCACCTGCTCTGCAAAGGAAAGGAGGGCTCGAGTCTAGAAATCATGTAGTTTCTTATTTTTATACTTAGGCTGTTTCCGATACTCGTTATTTAACGTTTTAGCTACTTTGGTGTCATACAGCCCGAAATCAGTGTGGAGACTGTCTTGTTGAAACAGTTGAAGGAGTTCTTGGACTCCAGCCTAGGATCCCTTTTCCAAATCAACAAATGTCTCATCACAGTGGGAAGACACCAAAAATGCTGCTCTAAAAATGCTGTATTCTTGGCCTGGCTGGGGTAGCTCAGTGGATTAAGCATGGGCCTGTGAACCAAACAACCGTGGTTTCGATTCCCAGTCAGGGCACATGCCTGGGTTGCAGGCCAGTTCCCAGTGGAAGGTGCACAACAGGCAACCATACATTGATATTTCTTCCCCTCTCTCCTTCCTTTCCCCTCTAAAGATAAATAAATAAAATTTAATGCAATTCTTTTTTTAAAAATGCTATATTCTCAAAGGTTTTGTGTTGGTAAAATGTCATCAGTTTGTATGAACAAGAAAAAGCCTGTACGTTTGTTTCTTATTCCTTTCTTTTTAGAACAGCAAAGCAGCACAGAGGTGGGAGCAAACTGTCGTTCAGTGTGAGCCATGACACTAGGCAGGCCACTGCTGGCCGGAGCAGCGGGCTGCAGGGCTCAGCCAGTCTTCGGCCACCCGTGCTGGACGAGTCTCTGATCCGAGAACAGACCCAAGTGGACCACTTCTGGGGTGAGTCAGCTACCACGTGGTCACTTCCGATTGTCCTGGAAGAAGGGACATTATAGCCAGCAGAGCCCAGCGAGGCTGAGGGTTCCTCTGGGCCCCCAGCTACAGGCGGGGCCGTGCTGCCGGCCTGTCATCGTCATCCTCTTGGGGCTGTGGCCTCGTGCTGCAGGTGGCTCTCGGCAGCAGGGTGGGCACCCGGTGTGGACATAGTGACAGTGGGAACAGCAGCGGCAGCGCAATCCCTGTCCTGCTGGAGTGGGCACTTTAGGAGCGCCAGCTCAGGTGGATGTACAGCCCGCCCCTGGGGCAGGACTGGAGGCCCAGATGTGCTCCAGGCTCCTGTGTGCGGCTCTCAGGCAGGTCGGGCCTGCGTCGTGTCTTGCTCAGTGGGCAGGAGCAGCCAGCAGGCAGCAAGCAGCGGTAGGGGTGCCGGGGATACTGGGTCTGAGACGCGGGGGCCTGTCCGTGAGTGCACCCAGCCTGCCGTGCCCTTCACACACGCAGGTGCACACGTGCGCTTCTGTTAGAGATGCTCTTCCACCTCAGTCAGAGGCTGTGTTTGTCTCTCTGGGGAAATTGCCACTAATTTTAGGTGTTTTATGAAATAAATGTTGACTAGTACCATAATGCTGATTTATTAACCATTGTAATTTTTAGTTTTTTGAGTGTCTTGCTGTGTTTGATAATTTGAGCTCAACTGCAAAAATATGTGTGTTTTAGGTCTTGATGATGATGGAGACCTTAAAGGTAACACTTTTAGCCCTTTATCCCCCCCTTGAGAGAGTGGTTCTCAGTGGGCATCTGCAGGGTGCAATCAGCGGCCCCTTCTGCTCTCTGAACCTTCAGGTGGAACAAAAGCCTTCACTCAGGGGAACGGCGACTCGGGCGCCAATGTGGCCCGCAGCAATGGCTACACCTGCAGGGCCTGCAGCCAGCTGTCTGCGTGCCAGGACGCACCCGCGCACGCCCCCACCCACAGCCTCGCCTCCTGGGTGTACTCACGGGACCATGCTCAGAAACGTAAGTCCCTCATGCTTCAAAGTCAGGAGGGACCTCACGTCCCCCAGTTCTCATCTCACAGGCTGGGCGGCGCAGCCTACGGGGTCCGTGTCACCTCAGACACTGACTGGAACTCTGGATTACCCTGTGAAAGCTTATGAAGTGCAGCAAGATTGAGCTTTGCTACTTCTCTCAAGTTTCATGTTGCATTGTTAAGGTTTTGTCCCAGGGGGGTCTGGAACTCTGTGACCTTGTGCTTAGGTGGAATGTGGTGCTGTGGGCCTGCACAGGTGCCAGAGTTGCAGTTCGAGTGGGGCCTCTGCCTCCACTGGCCCCTGGGCCTTCAGGTCAGGGCGGTTTGGCACTGGCCCTGCTGGGTGTCAGCACTCATTTGTAGGCCCTGGTGCGGCCACAGCCACGGGCGAGCAGAGGCAGATGTCCGAGTCCTGGCTGTGGTCAGTGGGGCAGGGGCCCTCACAGATGCCCTTGAGCATGTGGCTGTCAGGACTGCAGGAGCTGCTTGGCCCCTGCAGGCCAGCCTGTGGGCTCTTTCCAGGGTCCCCAGCACCCCAGGTCACCTCCAGGTTCCACCAGTGGCTCAGATGCTCCTGCTAGCTCCGGCACTCCAAGCCTGTCCCCAACTTCCTGCCCAAGGTCCCTGCTCCCACACAGCAGGGCCAGGCCAGGCAGCTCTGGACTGGAAACATGCTCACCTGTCTCCAAGTCCCTGCCCCTGATGGACTCACTCCACGTGCCAGTCTGCCTGGCGCTGTTGGACACATGGCAGGGGACCTGTGGGGACAGGAAAGCACCAGGAGGGCAGGGCCGAGTTTGCACATTTGCTGTGTTCCGGGGCATGCCTGGCTCACAGGGTGGTCAGTTACTTCTCAGATGCTGAGGGCATGGTGTTGCAGCTGCTGGTGTTTGTGGCTCTGTCTGTGGTGGCCACTACCTGGTGCCGACCGGTCAGCAGCTACGTGGTGTGGAGGCAGCAGCAAGGGGCGGGTAGGCCACACACCCTGGAGGCAGCCCCACTGTGCCAGCGCTGGATGCTGTCCCCAGGGTCCCTGGGGCGGCCCCAGCCAGGGCTCAGCATTCTCAGGGTGCCCTGGGGGCGGGGTGTGTTGGGGTGTATAGAGACCTGCCCTGGAGGCGCTCGCTCCCAGTGAGCTCTGTGGGGGGGGTGCTGTGTTCCCACGGCCTCCCCATGAGGGCAGCGGCTCTGCTGTGTGTGACTGGTAGTAGCCACATTTTGCCCGTGGGGGTAGGTTTCGGGGAGCCTCTGGAGACCCATTGCTGAAAGACCTTGACCTAAGTTGCTCCTGACTTTTTCTTTAGGGAGATGGCAAGGGAGGGAAAAAGAGAGGGAAAGAGACATCCATGTGCGAGAGAGACATTGGTCAGTTGCCTCTCGCTCGTCCCCAACTGGGGACCCGGCCTGCAACCCAGGTCTGTGCCCTGAGTGGGGGAACAAGCTGGTGACTTTTCAGTTTGCGAGACAATGCCCAACCCACTGAGTCACAACAGTCTGGGTACTCTTGACTGTTCTTGAAGAGAGAACACGTTATATATATTTACATTTTACCTCTGTATTATTTTTTTTATCACAGTGTACATTCAATATTATTTCATACTAGTTTTAGGTGTAACAAGCTACATTTTTATTTGCTTTGGGTTTCTCTTGTCACCTCCTGTGCTGTTTCAGATTACAACAGTGATTTATAGAATAACCAATTCATCTTAAAAAGTCTGCTATGTTTATGAAGATCCCTGGGAAATCACAGATGTGTGTGAGGGAGAAAGTTAAAGTCACTGAGCCCACTCCACCCACCACCTACCTCGGGCTGTCCTCGAGGGCCACCACCCAGGTTCCCAGACAGGGGGTCACACTCGAGGGCAGCTTGGGGCCTCATCTGCCTGATGCACATGCAGCCCCCCGCCAGCCCGACTGAGCATCCCCATTTCCTTTTTTTCTGTTGTCGCCGGGCCCACATAAAGCCTGTGAACTACGGCACAGTGAAGTTCCCCTCCCCACTCTGTCCTCTCTGGATGCCCTTGCAGGGCGGATTCTTGTGCTTTTTGAAATGAGGTGAAATGCACATGACAAAAAAACGTGCAGTTCAGTGGCATCTAGTGCATTCACGGTGTTCCGACAGCACCGGAATTTTGCATGCAAACTGGAGGAATGCGTCATTTTGTCTGCGATGCTGTCAGTTGTGGACGTGTGACGTTTTGTGTGACAGTTGACATTAACTGCCCTTTTCTGTCCATCAGAGTCTGACGACGCTCAGGTTTCCTGTCCGTGCCCCTGAAAGGCCATGTGCGTGGGGACACTCCGCCCGTGTTCCGGTCCCTCTGGGGCTGCGCACACTCACGCCCTAACGGGCAGACAGGCGGGAAGGCAAACGAAGGCTAAAGGCTGTGGACCCACTTGAACCTGACCGTTCCTTGTCCCGAACCTCAGGAGATTCAAGTTGACAAAATGTGATTTTTTGCTTCACATCAAAAAGACTTTAGCAGGCTCCAAAGTCTTTTCCTTGAGACCCGACACAGTCCTGCACAGAGCAGGGTGCTGGCGGGAAGCATGTGCTCAAAGAGACAGCTCTCCCAGGACAGGGGTGTCCCCTTCAGCAGCAGGGGAGGCTGGACATGTGGCCACACCCTGCCTCCCAGGCCCCTTGGGGCCTCCTGGCGGCCGCTGTGTGTCACACTGTGTGTCCTGCATCACACGGAGGCTGTGGGAGTGAGAGTCTGAGAACAGGCCCTCCCGCACTCCCCCAGGCAGCACTTAATGCCCCCAGTAAAGGTGTGAAATAGTCTAGAGAAGCGGGTCGTTTCTGTGGAAAACTGTCAGTTGTCCTGCCGGTGTGGAACAGGGTTCTGCTCACTGACACAGCCTAATTAGAGGGACGAGGACCGGAGGGTCTGTGCCTTGTGGTGGCCCGAACCGTGGAGCCTGCGGCCAGCTGGAGCAGCCGGCCTGCCCGACAGAGACGCGGTTCGCATGTGGTTCAGAGCCCGTTCCGGCCAGCAGCCCCTACCGAGCAGCACTGTCCACACACAGCCAGACTCTCCAGCCAGCTTCCTACACACGCACCCCAACTTTGCTCCTGTGCCGCGCTGGGAGGCCCAGCCCACAGACTAGCCAGTTTTTCATATTTTCCTGCTTTACAAATCTTTCAGTTTGACGGAAGAAAAATGAGATGTTGGTGTTCTTCCTGGCTTCAGCAAGACTGTCCAGGGCTCGCCCTTAGTGAACAGCTTCTCCCTCCCCAGCCTCTGTCCAGTGAGCAGCGCAGCAGAGGCGCCTGGGGTGCCGGCTTACCTGTAGCCTGCAGCTTCACTGGACTTTTACTTCTTTAAAATCACTTCAGCTCAGACGCCCCAACCCCAGCTGGCTGCATGCTGTCTGCACTGAGTCCCCAAGGCTTTGCAGGGCTGGGGAGGAAGCACACGAACTGGACTCAGGGCACCTCCTGGGTGCATCCCAGGGACAAGCCTGTCCCAGGTGGTCCCCGTGCGCCCAACCGCCTGGAAGCAAAGCCCGCTTGATCCACCACTCAGGGAGGGAACTTTCCCAGCAACGAGCGTTTCTAGCAGTTGTGACTTGGGGAACATCACCCCACATGCTTTAGGTTAATAGGACAAAACATCTGGGATCCTCCCCTTGTATTTTCTGAAGCGTGAGCACTAATAAAGAGTCACAGGTCCTCTTAGTCCAGCAGCCCCGTCGCTGAGTGGACACCTCCCAAGGCCACACTGCTCATTTCTGTTGCCCTGTTGCCAGTGCTGCAGCAGCCGGCCTGGAGGACGCTGGGCCCTGCGGGGGGTCCTCCAGGTGGGCAGGTAGCGCCTCAGTGGGGCTGTGTGTGCTGACGCGGCGGCAGCTCTGCCTGGCAGGACAAGGGACAAGCGTCTCGGCGTTTCCCGAGTGCTGTCTCCGGCGTCGTTGAGAGAGCTGGCTCTGTTGTGCCCGAACAAGGAGGTCGGCTTTCTGACTTGTCAGGGGAGGAAGTGCTGGCTCCGGGGGGAAATTAACTGTGTGTCCACGGTTTCTCACTAGGCGGCGTGTCCTACGTGGACAGGATTCTGTGGCTGGCCACGTATACTTCGTCATCTTTGTCATCAGTCTTAGTCCAACTCTTTCGAGTGGTTTTAATGAAGCTCAATTATGAATCAGAAAATTACAAATTGAAAAACTATGAATCAAAAGATGGTGAATCAGAAAGCTATAAGTCAAAAAGCCATGAATCACAAGGTATTTAAATAATTTTTTTCTCTTTCTTCCACCAAATACTGCTTTCGAGGTGGAGAAAACACCACTCTTTCCAGCGGCGCGTTCATGTCTCTGCTCTGCGGCCTGTTTGCCACTCTCGGGCGTCACCTTGGCTCTTTCTCTAGGGGCTTGCGGAAGGTGCTCAAGGGCCCTGCATGTAGTCCAGTCCCCAGCAGTTGGTCAGTGTGTGAACGCTACTTTTAAGTCACTTTTTAAGTGAAGAATTAACACACTCAGGTTTTGGTTTAGTATTTTAAAATAACGGCCGTGCACCTGAACAGCATTTGGAGTGCCTTTCTCGAGGTTCTGAGCTTGCCCACCTTTGCAGGGTGTCAGTGGGTGTGCGGTCTTGGCTGGGTGGGACTGGAAAGTCTCTTCCCAAGCAGAGCCCTGTCGGCTGTCCTCCCCCGCCTGTGCGGACCACCGGCCGTGCTGAGGTAGGGGTGCCGGCCTCGCTTGTCCTCTGGCTGCCGGCTCCCTGGGGATCAAAGGGGCCTTGCACTTGCCGAGCCCTGTAAGCCTCTTCTGCATGTGTTGCAGCTCGTTCCGAGCACAGTGGGACGATGACAGTGACAGAGTCTCCCAGAGAGGACGGTCGCCTCCAAGTAAACGGGGACTCGCTGTGTAAGTATGGCCTCAGCTCCCTCACCGCGTGGGGCTCTCGGGTCGCACGGTCCGGCACAGTTGTGTGGGCCTGGCCGAGAGGGTGGGTAGGGCGCCGGTGCTGGAACCCTGCCTGGGGGGGGGCATGCTTCCCAGACTTCTTTCCAAGATCGAGTGTCATAGATGCAAACGACCACCAGGTGGCATTTGCTTTGAGTTTTATGTCTTTGATAATCACTCTTCCTCATTTCTTCAAACTCATCGTGCATCGTTTTTGAATGGACAAGGTTCGTGGAGTAATCTGTCACATTAACTGCTCATCACCATCCCCCGCAGGCCATGGCCGTGAGGGGACGGAACGCCTGGAGACCCACTTGGCCACCCGCTCGCAGTTTCCGGGGACAGGAGGGGCAGCAGGGACCGCACAGCTCGGCTCTTCCCTCACAGGTTGCTCTCACGCTGTCTGCTCTGTCTCTGTCATGTTCCCACAAACGCCTGTGCTTTCTCGTCCACACTTGGGGTTTGGGTGCTCGCTAAAGGTGGGCGGCAGTCCCACGGACTCAGTCTGAAATACGAGGCTCTCTCCCCAAACACTTTGGGAGTGTCTGCAGTGGAAGTCAGATGTCCAGGCAAAGAACTCCCTGCAGGGGGGGTCAGAAGTGCAGAAGAGGCTATTCCCGCCTGTGCCGCTGTGGGAGCGAGAACGTGCCATGCTCGGCACCATGAGCCTCCGCCCCAGGCGACACATGCACACCCGGATGCCCCCCACGTGCACACCTGCACCTGCTTGGGAAAGGGGCACCTTTCCCGCAGCCTTGTTTGTAAAGCTGAGCTTCAGAGATAAGTGCCCCCTGGCTGTTCATGAACACACGACTAAAGCAGTGGGTCTACCCCCTGTACCCTGTGTCTCTGCATGTCGCCACAAGCAGCCACTGCGGAGTTTCGGGAGTCAGCACACAGACGCTGAGATCAGCACACCACTCCCAGAAAGCAAATGGGAGGGACCCCGCGGTGGTGCTCTGCTTTGCACAGCCTGGGCTGCCCGGCAGAGGCTCCTGGTCGCCTCTTACCCAGCAGCACCGTGTGTGGCTCCACAACGCTTGTTCCCTGAGACACGTGGGCTGCAGGATGGCTGCTGCCTGGGCCCTGAGTGGGCCTCGCTTCCCCGGGAGCATGTTGATCAGCACCGTGGTCGGGGCCTATATTTGCTTTGCGGTGTCTCCTTTTCTCCACGGAAACCCTGCCGGCACCAGCTGCAGCCTGCGGCAGCTCCGGCCACCACACTGGGTTTCCTGGGGGCGCTGCAGGCAGGAAAGGTGGAAGCTGTTTAGACAGAGAGTGGGGTTCTCATAAGTTAATTTCAGCATCTTCCTTGGACTCGGTTTGCTTTTTGTTTTTCTTGAGAAGGGAGTCAACTTACTGATAGGACAGAATTTGGGTAAGGCCTGTGCATCAGGGTTCTCGTGTGGTAGCTGCAGAGAGCTGGTGTCCTGGAGCCCAAGTTCGAGTGTGCCCCCCTGCGTCTCCTCTGTCCAGGGCACGTCTCGAGGTGGACACTGCGGAGGACCAGAGCTGCTGGGCGGGCTGCGGTGCAGGCTGTGCTGTCGGGCCTGTGGTCGGCTGCGGTGGCCCCAGGTGGTCACTTGGGCTGTGTGTGTGCTGTCCCTGCGAGGCTGTGGCAGAAATAATCTACCTCATGGAGGGAAACTCCACGTTAGGGCCCCATACTCTGTTCCCTGTGCGACGGTCCTTGTGTCCTGCACTGCGGGTGCATGAGCTCTGTGCTCCAATAGGAGGCTTCTAACAGGGTTGCGACCCAGGTGCATGTGCTGGGTGTCCTCTGCCGAGTCCCGCCCGTGTCCTGACTCACATGCTGGGTGCTTTGCGGCTCGTCCACCCTCCCGCGTGGGAGCATGCGGGCATTCCTGCTGTGCGGGCAGGCACCTCTCAGCGCACCCCACCTGCTGCTGCGTCTCCTCTCCAGAGGCCTGTCCGTAAACCACCTGGTGCTTCTGGCTGGGCCTTGTTTGGGAGCCTGGTTGTCTCGAGGACACATCCCGACACTGCCTGGTGTTCTCTTCCAGGGAAGGCGGCCACTGGGATGCTCTGGTGGCTGGGTCGTGGGTGGTACCAGCTGGTCACTCTGATGTCCTGGCTGAACGTGTTTCTTCTCACCAGGTGAGGAAGCCAGCGTCCCATCGGCTGGGCATGCTCTTACTTGAGTTTCTCAACCAGTCCCAGGCCGCCACCATTCCTGAGGGAAGTGGCAGCCCGCAGGGGCAGGGGGTGCATGGGAGGCCATATGGTGAGGAGGGACCTGGACCCTGGGGCTCCTCAGTGGGCCAACGTCCGTGGTGCCTTGGTGCTGTCCCGTAGCTCTCTGTGTGGCTCTGGGTTTGCTTGTCCACATGGGCCCAGGCAACACCACTGTGCAGGCAGGGCCTCCTCCCAGAGGGGCCTGTGGGAGCCCAGGACCACGCGCTTCCCTTCTCATCATAGTGGGGGCTGCTCTGGGCTGGGTGGCCAGGAAGGGGAGGGAAGTGCTAGGCACTGCCTCCATGTTACATGTCTGTGTTTCTACTCCCAGGTGCCTTCGCAACACTTGCAAGTTTCTAATCTTGCTCATTCCACTCTTACTTTTACTTGGTAAGTCAACTCTGACCTCCTGCCAGCCAGTGATGTGCACGGCCATACGTGTGCGCGCGCGCATCAGTGAGACGCCCCTGTGGGGGGCCGTGTGTGAGGCTGCCCACCCAGCCGTGGCCTCTTCTCTCTCCTCCAAGGTGCGGGCCTTTCCTCCTGGGGGCAGGGCAGCTTCCTGTCCTTCCTGCCCACTTTCAACTGGACACGCATGCTCAGAGCACCAAGGGTCGATGAGCTCCAGGGTGTGTTCTCGACGGGAGCTGCCCCCCCGCTCCCACCTCCGGAGGTAATTGCCAGCCGGCCTGTCCTTGAGGGTCCGTCCTCGTGCTGCTGGGAACAGGGCTGCTCGGTGGGACACCCTGTGTTAGGAACCGGTCTCAGGTGTCCATCTCCTTAAATGCTGCAAACTAGTTTAAATGGTGTCTTTTTAAAGTAATTTCATTATTCAGTTCATTGTAATTTGGAGAGAAGCAGCATCCGTCACTTTGGAAAATACATAACATATAGAGAAGAGAAGGAAAACCACCCTAGCTGCATGTAGGGAAGTCACTAACAGTGCAGCCTGTGTGGCCTGTTCCTCCTGGGCACCATAGGCGTCCAGCGCTGTGCGGCCGAGACCCTCGACTGCCCTGTGCTGGGGTGTTGGGTGCTGGCTCGATGCATTGTGTGCGTTGCTGTGAGAACTTCTTCCCTGTCTTAGGGTGTGGCCGAGGCTTCTCCCTGGCACTGGATGAGAGAGGTGGAGAGGCAGGTGGCCTCTCTGTCGGGCCAGTGTCAGAGCCGGGACGGGAAACTGAGGGAGCTGACGGCTTCACTGCAGCAGCTGCAAGTGCGGGTGGACCAGCTGGACGACGGGGGTGCCGGGCCGTCCTCCCTGGTGAGGAGTGTGGTGGAGCATCACCTGAAGGGCCTCGGTGCCGGCGGGCTGCTGGGCTCCCAGGTGAGGCTGAGGGGTCCCCGCGTGGCTCCTTTCCCTGGGGAGCTGAGACTGGGGCAGGCATGGCAGTGGGATGTAGCTGTGCTCTCGTGTCGGGGACAGTAGGACCTGCTGTGCGCTGGGCCCCACCTGAGCAGGTCCACAGTGGGGATGCCCTCAGAAAGGGGGACACGCAGCAGGGGCTGTTCTGTCCGTGTGGGGCCCCAGGCCTCTGCGTAGACACCAGTTCATTTGGTGCCATCAAGGAAAGGACTGTCAGCCCACATTCCTCAAACCAGTGTTCCCTCTGTTCAGTTCCACAAGTTAACTAGGATGTTTTAGATTAAAATCTTCAGGATGTGCGTTGCCCCTGGTGTCTCAGTGTCCAGCCCTGTCCTCACCCTCTGTCACCACCACAGTCTGCTCCCCGTGGCCCCACCCCCCCACCCTACCTGAGCTCCAGGTGCATGCCTGCCAGCCCACTCCCTGCCTGGAAGGCTTACCTCACTGCCTGCCTCACCGTTCGGTGAGCCCTGGGCGGAGCAAGGCGTCTTCTCTCCAAGCAGGCCTGCCTCTGCAGAGGGGGGGAGGTGGTGGGGGCTGAGAGGGGCAGGTGCCCTTTGATGGAGTGACCGGAAGGGATTTTCTTCACCCCGGGGCGTGCACCTACTAACCTGCTAGAGTTGCAGCTTCTGAGGATTGCTGAGGGAGAGTGCACGGGGGCCGTCCAGCACCTGAGGTTCTCCAGCTCGCCGAGTGCTCAGTGCTGCCCCCACCCCATCCCGCCCAGCGGGACAGGAGGCCACATGGCCCCAGTCCCTTTGATGGCCAAGGGCGGCTGTTAGGAAGGGCGTCACCAGTGTCCTGGGGAGATGGTGGACTGGGTTCCTCCCTGAGGAAGGCCAGCACAGCCTGCAGGCGTGGATGGCTGAGGAGGGAGAGAGTGCCGTGCGTCCAGGCCGCTGCCCTGGGCTCACCAGACACGGTGGGCACTTGTTGAGTGGTGGTGGCCAGTCTGCTTTCTCCGAGAAGCACTTTCCGGGGGTCGCAGGCCATCCCCGTCCACACTCACCTTTGCTGTAGAAGCTCTCAGCCTCTCAGCACAGTCTCAGGTCCCCCCAAGGGCGCTGTTACCGGGTGGCTGATCCCTCTGGGACGCTCCGCCACGTGGTGCCCCGCGCTCTCCGCCCGCGGCATGTCTGGGCAGCCTGACACACCAGGTTTGTGTGTCTGTAGCTTCCCTGTCTGGACCGTCTGTTTGCTCCTTTTCCGTTTCAGACTGACCCCGTGGCCTTCCACCGTGAGCACGAGTCACGCATCTCCAACCTGGAAGACATCCTTGGAAAGCTGACGGAAAGATCAGAGGTACTCCTTCTCTGCACAGCAGCCCTGACAAGTGCTCTCCAGCCGGAGCAGCCATCCAGTTCCTGTGCCACTGTCTTGACAGAACTGGAGAAGGAGTCCCCCTGCCCCCGGGATTCCATCTCATGGCTTTTTTAAAAAAAGATTTTATCGATTTATTTTTAGAGAGAGGGGAAGGGAGGGAGAAAGAAAGGGAGAGAAACATCACTGTGTGGTTGCTTCTCACACGCCCCCTACTGGGGACCTGGCCCACAGCCCAGGTATGTGCCCTGACTGGGAATCGAACAGGTGACCCGTTGGTTCACAGGCCGGCGCTCAGTCTACTGAGCCACAGAAGCTGCTCCCGTTCAGAATGTCTGCTGCTTCTGTGCAGTCAGCTCCCCCAGCTGGGTCTGCTGGCCATCTTTTCAAAGTGTGCTTTGAAAGCAAAGCAGCACTGACCTGCCAGCCAACGACCAGACTTTGGGTTATGGGGACAAACCCCAGCCAAACACCTGTGGTTTCACATACAGTCGAGTGTGTGGTTTTGCGGAGAGTGGTGCGTGGTGGTGTGAGCCCGCTGTTTCTCATGCTTCCCAGGCCATCCAGAAGGAGCTGGGACAGACCAAGCTGAGGACAGCAAGGTAGGAGAGCCCGCTTGAGCCAGTCCCGGCCTCACTGCTGCACCGCAGGGACGGGCCCAGAGGGACACTCGCCCGAGGGCAGAGGGGTCCTAGGGGCTTCACTGCCACATACTTCTCCCTGAGCAGCGTGCCAAGGGCAGCAGCCCCCCTGCTGTCACCCGGGGTGCCCCAAGGACTGACTTTGGAGTACAGACGAGCTGGGCTTACATCACGGTTGGTGGGATAGGAGGGTTCCGTGTGACACGCTGGGAGCACCAAGGGCATCGGAGCTCAGCCCTTGCCATGTGGGCCAGCTTTCTAAAACGGGTACCTGGCACTGAGGCTGCAGGGGTCACATCGCCTTCGGAGTAGGGGCTCTGGGCCACTCCCAAGCCGTACCTGTGCCTTCTCAAGGGCCCGACCCCTCGGCAGATTCCTGGGGTGGGGCACAGCTCCCTACTGGGCCCAGCGCTTTCCTCCGGCCCACCATCCCTTCCTTCGGCCACTCTGCACCGAGGCCGTCCCTCTCCACATGGGAGCTGTTGGTCTCTTCGTACTTGAAGTTTACCACACGTCCCCCTAGTCTGCCTGAGTGTGGCACTTTGACCCCTTGTGGCTCAGTGATTCCTGAGGCTTGACTGGGGACCAGATAAGGAGCATGAGCGTTCCCCAAGCCCCTCACGCCGTCACCTCCCGGCTCCTGTGTGTCCGGTAGGCCTGCTGCCGGGCGGCCTTGATCTGCCAGGCTGATCTGTACCCCTCCCAAGATTTCCCCAAGAGTGTGTGCTCTGAGGGGCGTCTGCATGATGGCACCTGTGGTGCACAGGCAGGACTGTCCACCCAGCCGTGTGGTGGCTCGTGCCACACAGTCACTGCTGCACAAGGAGCTGTCAGCAGCCCTGAGGCTGGGCATTGTCGTCGCACTCCTTGTTCCATGGGCCTGAACAGGCCCCGTTCAGCCCTGGAACAGCCAGTGAGCGTGCCTCACCCCTGCAGCTGTGTTGTCGTTGTGAGGAGAGCACGGGGATGCGAATGGGCCCTGTTAGGGCACGTTGGGCAGTGTGTGCTCTTGGCTCAGGAGCCCTTGACGGGGTGAGGGGCTTGGGGAACGCTCTTGCTCCTCATCTGGTCCCCAGTCAAGCCTCAGGAATCACTGAGCCACAAGGGGTCAAAGTGCCACACTCAGGCAGACTAGGGGGACGTGTGGTGCTCTTGGCAGTGTGTGCTTGGGGCTCGGGTGTGGAGTGGCGTGGGGTCTGTGCGCACACGGGGCCAGTGGCAGCCCCCCCACTGCCGCTCCCCCACCAGGGGGACTGAGCCTGTTTCCTCTCCCCTCCCCATGGACTGCCAGTGCCACCGAGCAACAGCAGCACCTGCAGTCTACAGTGGCGCAGCTGGAGCACGAGCTGGGCCGCCTGCAGGCAGAGCTGGCGGCCTGGCAGCCGCTGAAGGCTGGCTGCGCGGAGGCCCACAATGTGCACGAGAAGGTGAGCTTCCCCTGCTGCCGTCTTCCCTGTGGTTGTGGGGCATCAGAGGCCAGCTGAGTGGGTGTCTCAGTTTTATTCGCTTCCTTTAAACAACCTTACTGTGTTCGAAGACTTTCAAGATTTAAAATAACGTTTAAAATAAAACTTCCACTCTCCCGAATTTCCTTGTCCCGTCACCCACCGCATTAACACCGTGACCTTCCTGTGCTGGCGTGGCATGCGGTAGGCCGCCACATCCTCCTGCAGAAGAGGAAACCTGCCATTTGGAGCTGCTGAAAACGGAAAAAGCACACACATCTGTGTGCAAAACTCAGCCGAAGTTGAGAGTTGGGCAGTGGGTTGGGGACAAGCACGTCCCTGTTATGCAGGGATGCTAAGCTGGTGGGGGCCACAGTGCCGGGCCGCAGGTGGCAGTTTCTCCATGCTCAGGCTATGGTCGTGAAACCTATGCATCTGGGCCATGGCCTGTCCTGGAGCCCTGCATGGCCGCGTCGGAGGCCACGGAGCCCCAGGACGCACTCTGCACACAGTCATGCAGGTGTGCAGAGAGAACGCAGGTGGGCATTTCTGGTACATGGTTAGAGTTAACGTGTTCACTGCCTGGAAGATGAGAGGCTTCTCCTCTCTGCCCTCACCTGACTTTGGGGGGTGGGGCCGCTGGCTGGGCCACACCTCCCCTTACGGCTCTGTGGGCATGGGCTCCTCCAGTGCGCTGGGAGGGGCTCTTCCATGCCCTGTGGAGAGGAAGGCACATGATGTTTGCAGGACAGATTTGGAGGAGCTGGTGACACTGCCATAGGAACCAAGTGGTTTATGTTCTGTTCGCTCACAAATTCCCAGGTCGACGTACAGGTTAGAGAGACCGTCAGGCTACTGTTCTTGGACGACCAGCAGGGCGGCGCCCTGGACCAGCTGCTGCGGAAGCTGTCCTCTCAGTTTGTCAGCAGGGATGACCTGCAGGCAGTGCTGCGGGAGCTGGAGTTGCGCATCCTGCGGAACATCACCCACCACGTGTCCGTGACTGGGCGGGCGCCGACCTCGGAGGCCATCTTGTCTGCTGTGCACGAGCAGGGGGCTGTGGGGATCACGGAAGCGGTAGGTAGAGGACCGGGAGGCAGAAGCGGGGGGTGGCAGTGACATTGATGGTACTTAGCACAGGCAGGGGGCAGAGATGTAGTGGTGCCAATGTCATAGCTGCTTCTTGGGAGGACTTGATGCTTTTTATTAATCCTCTTGTCCCAAAGCCTCCCAGTCCCCCAGCACCAGGGCACAGTCCCCACGCTGAGCCGGCTTTGTCGCCCTCTGTACACCTCTGGGCTCTGTGGCCTGGGGACGAGGGAGGTGGCCTGAGCCTGCAGACAGGCTCTGCCCTCGCAGCCACTCAGTGGCCTTGCCACGGTGCAGACTGAAGTGCGGGTTTCCCAGGACGTCCCTTAAGCCTGCCAGCCCCAAACAGCTGACGGACAGTGTGCCCTCGCTGAGACGTCCCGCCCCCACCCCTGGCGCTGACACGCAGCCTTGTCTCTCCTCCCCTGGGTCGGCGTCCTCCCATCTCGTGCCTCCCAGCAAGCGCATGTCATCGTGAACAACGCGCTGAAGCTGTACTCCCAGGACAAGACCGGCCTGGTGGACTTCGCCCTGGAGTCCGGCGGTGAGTCAGGGGGCCTCTGACCACGGAACAGAATGCAGGGATTGGAGAGCATGTTCCCAGCCAGTGGCTCCAGTCAGTGTTAGGGTGTGGTCTGTGCCTCCCTGCAAAGGCTGGGGCTGTGCCAGATGTTCATGGCAGGTGTGGGTGTATGCCCTTCAGCAAAATCCCAGTTTGGGGAATCTTGGTGGCCTTTGGTCTCCAGTGCCCTGCCGCAGAGGCACCCTCAGCTGCTGCACTTGACAGGTGTCACGTGCTTTACACACCGAAGGCGGCACCGGCATGAAGATGATGGCTTGCTGTACCGTGATCCCCACTTTCTGTGGGGTCACTGAGATGTGCCTGCCTGCCCCAGGGGTCAGCGGTAGCACTGGGCAGTTTCTTCCCATGTCCCCCAGGGTCAGTGCTTGTGGGGTGAGCACGGTGCCCCCAGGTATGTGGCAAGGGCCCTTCAGACGCCTGCCTCCCTCCGGGCCGCTCCCTCCAGTGGGGACAGGCCAGGGCAGCCATCATGGGGACCAGGCCGGCCCACTGGGCAGACAGCGGGGCTGTAGTTTGGCTCCTCGAGGAGAGAGAACAGGAAGCTGTGGTCGCTCGAGGGCTGTGTGCGTCCGACCGGCTGGTGCCGGGCTCTGCGAGGTGTGCAGCTGGTGCGGGGCTCCGTGAGGAGTGCGCCTCATTGCCCCGTCCCCATGACCCTGGGTCCGCCACGAGAAGCCGCTTCCGCGAGGCGATGGCGAGTGCTCACGGGATGTGGGGCAGGACCTTGAAGGATCTCACGGCAGCTCAGCAGGGGCTCTTCCTCCTTGTCCCAGAAAAGCTCGGTTTCCTGGATTTTTACAATTCAGGGGTTACAGGTGAGGGCTGGCAGACTAACATTTCTTGTAGAAAAGGAGGCCCATGACACGTGTCACCATACTCGGGGCTGGGGCCTGCAGGGAGTGGGGACTGGAAAGCCACATCTGTCTGGCTCATTGCCCGCCCGCAGTTCGGGAGGTGTGGGGAGTGGTGGTCCCTGGTTGGGAACCTGGTCCCCACGGGCGCAGGCTGGTCTCCGCCACACCCCTCCTCACGGGACCTCGGTGGGGTGAGTGCCGCTGTCCCTGGAGAAAACGACCCAGCTCCCCCGGCATCGGATGGATGGGCACCCTTCTCACCCTGTAGGAGGTTTGGGTCTCAAGTTTTCAGACAGCGATTTCTGAGGAAGTTCCTGGTAGTTCCGCGATGTCAAGTGACACCTCAGCTATTCCTTGGGGACTGACAGTGACTCGGGCTCTTAACCCTGTCATCGCTCCCTAGGGGCAGCATCAGTCCACGTGCGTTTGTGTCATGGCCTGGAGATCTGGTCATTCTGAGGGGTGCGGACTGTCAGTGTCGGCTGCCGATCAGAACGTTTTCGACTCTGAGCTAGGAAAGTGTCCGTGTGTTGGAGGAGGCTTTCTAAGAACAACATTAGGGTGTTTCTGAAAGAGATAGTTCAGTGGCTCAGAAATGTAAATGCAGGGTGTTGATGCTGCAGCTGAGGTCCGCTGCCCCGCCCCGCCCCGCCCAGGAGGAGGTGGCTGCAGCTGCTGGGCTGGGTGGTGATGGGGACCTTGGCTTCGTGAGGAATGACTTTTCATGTGTGTTTGTCTTGGCCTGCGGTGGCACCAGCCCTTGCCCTGTTTCTTGTTAAGGGACAGATGGCTTCTTCGATGCTTCCCTTCTGTTGGCATGGAGACCAGGTTCACTGACGTGGCTTCGGCATTCGGACCAGTGCAGCCAAGGGGGTGGGAGTAGTGCCACCGTGTGTGCCGTGGTCACCGTCCTCCAGCCCCAGACACTCCCATTTCCTCGATGGAAGCTGGGGCCGTGCACAGGCGCATCCTGCCCCTTTGGCCTGTTCTGTCGGCCCTGACCCCACCTGCCTGGCAACAGCAGGGCCCCGCAGGCTTGGTGCTCTCTGCCAGCATCAAAGGGTGTGTGGGCTGCCATCCCCACAGGTGTAGGTGGGCGTGGCGCCAGTGTAGAGGGTTTCTCGGCGTCAGCACGCACAGTCGCATCCCAAAGCAATCGTGCGCTCCTGACGTGGGGTTTGGAAAGAGCAAAATTAATACTGGGGCTGCTCCTAAAGTAGAAGCTTCTTTGTACAAGTTACAAACCTCAAGAGTTTTTAACACGTTCCCAGTAAGTCCCTGAGGTGGGTAAGGACATGGACCCCTGAGGGGTCGAGTCAGACACTGAAGTATGCTGGACCCCGGTTTGCAGGCGGAAGCATCCTGAGCACCCGCTGTTCAGAAACATACGAGACCAAGACGGCGCTGATCAGCCTGTTCGGCATCCCGCTGTGGTACTTCTCCCAGTCACCCCGAGTCGTCATCCAGGTGAGCGGCTGCCTCGCAGGCCGACCTGCTCCAGGGTCGGTGGTTCCGATGCTTGTTAAGGCACAGGTACGGATGGGAGAGTGTGTGCATTGCTGGGCACAGCTCAGCGACAGGCGGGACGAGCACCACACCGAGAGGTGGTGGTGCCAGCAGCACCAGCCCCGCCCCCTCGCCCTGAGGTCCACCTGAAACACCATGGGGGTGCTGGCGTCGCCGTCCCACTGTGGGCCCATGGTGCAGCGAGGCTGCACCTGCTCAGGCATCGGAGCGGACAGGATGGGCCCCCTGCCCACGCCTATGCCCTTGGGGTCTCCGGGTGGTGCTGGTTGCACAGCCTTGAAGGGCTGTCGGGTGGAGAGCAGGAACCGTCACATTCAGCTGCTGCCTCGTGGTAGTGCTGTTTTCAAAAGAAAATTCAGGGTTTTTTATATGAAACACCACACGATTGTCACCTTTCACTTAAAAACCACAAGTCCTAAAAGGGTTTGTGAATAAGCTGAGCATTAGGTTAGTGTCTGAGAACTTCAGAGTTGGGCCTCTGGGCCTGTCAGAGCCCCTGCCTTGTCCTTGTGTCCCGCCGGTGTCTGACAAGTAACTGCCGGCTTCCCTCAGTCCCCAGCACGGTCAGTCGCCGTGGCCCACAGGCTGCTCTTGCCCTGCACTCACACGTGGGCCCCTCACGGTCTGTCGTCGACCCAGGTCTGCAGTGTGGCTACCCGGTGGTCAGAAGGCAGCTGTCCTCTGCAAGTTAGGTGTGCGTGGGCAAGATGAGCTGCTCCCCCCACCAGGCTCGGCCCAGACCACCCAGGAGAGGTGCGGGCGGCACCTGCCGGAGGGGCATGCCAAGGGGCTGCCGGGAGTCCACGTGCCTCCTGCTCCTCCTACGGCGCTGATGCAGCGTGGTGGCCGTTGGGGTGGCAGTGGGAAGCATTGAAGGCCCAGGTCCCTTCTCTGAGTGTGGGCAGAGGGCAGCTTTGGGGCCCAGGGACATGAAGGATGAACTGTACGCTCTGTCCCGTGCCATCCCATCACTTCCGCCTGCCACACAGAAGGCTGTTCTGCTCAGCAGGTGGCACTAGCCCAGGGGCTCCTCGCCAGCTGGGCCCGCGCTCTGCGGTCCGTGTGCTGCTGCCAGCACCTGGGCAGGGGAAGGTGGGTCAGGGGGGCAGACATGTGGCGCTTGTGCTGGGGCACATGGACCCACACGTGTGAGAGCGCGCCTCCCACAGCGCCGGCCTGGGGACAGCTGCCACGTAAACGGTTTCTCCACTCCCAGGTGAGGCAGCCTCCTCCTGTGGCTGGGGGGCATGTGTACCCACGTTTCTTCGGTACATGCCTGTTGCGCGTCTTGCCTGCTTTTCTCTGGGGTTCTGGTTATTGCAGCGGTGTAAAACTCACTCTCACCATGGAGACTGTCGTTCTTCCGAGTTGAAACTCAAACCCCTCTCCCCAGTCTGTCCTTCGATTTTGCTTATGAGGGATTTTCTGGCCATGCCAAAATTTTTATTTCGGTATCATCAGCCTTTTCTCTTCCTGCTTCTGTGTCCTAAGTGGCTAAGAATTTATTCAGCTCCTGAGTCTCAGGGCTTTGCCTCCTCCGCAGCCTGACATGTACCCAGGCAACTGCTGGGCATTCAGAGGGTCCCAGGGCTACTTGGTGGTGAGGCTGTCGATGGAGATCCACCCGACCAGCTTTGCGTTGGAGCACATCCCCAAGACACTGTCACCCACAGGCAACATCACCAGCGCCCCCAGGGACTTCTCTGTCTACGTGAGTGTGCCCCACTCTCCCTCCCCAGGCAGAGCGTTTCCTAGAGCTGCACCTGCAAAGAGGGAGACTCGCCCGTTCTTGACATGCATGCCCATCCTCATCCCTTGGCCTGGACCTGCTCTGAGCAGGCAGGTCAGGTGTGAGGGACATCTTCCTGTCCCTCCCTGGGAGGGCGCTTCTCGGGAGGGTGCGTGGGCCCGGAGAGGTTGATTCCCTCCCTCCTGCCTGTCCAGACGCCTTCCTGAGGAGCCCTTGTCACCCCTGTGGTGGGCCTGGCTCCCCAGCTTGTGCTGAGGAGCAGCTGCTCAGTCAGTGTCACTTCCTGAGTCACAGATGGTCTGGTTTTGGTTTCAGGGGCTAGAAAATGAGTATCAAGAAGAAGGGCAGCTGCTGGGACAGTTTGTGTTTGACCAAGATGGAGAGTCACTCCAGACGTTCCCTGTCCCGGTGAGCTCCAGAGCCATTCCTGAGGGTCCCTGTCTCCTCATGTCAGCAGGGCCGCTGACCTTAACACAACTGTCAGAAGGGTGTCAGGGTGGGCTTCTGGGGAGGGGGTGCTGAACTCCTAGCTCTGTTCCCAAAGGAGCCTCTTTGGGATGTCCGTGTTCCCCACACAGTCAGGCCTTCGATGAGCTGTTGGTCTCCCCCGAGCTTTGCGTCCTGGCTGCCGACCTGGAGCAAACTGGCACAGGTCATTTCCGGCCTGGCCCCTTCCTCTCGGACATCCCTGTCAGGAAGGCAACTGGGTTTAGGAGTGTCTGTACCGAGTAAACAAGTAAATGTGAGTTTCTCTCTCCCCCCTTCGGTTTCAGAGGAGACCGGAGAGAGCTTTCCAAGTCGTGGAACTCCGGATCTCGTCTAACTGGGGCCACCCGGAGTACACGTGCCTCTACCGGTTCCGAGTCCACGGAGAGCCTGTGCAGTAGAGATGCTGCTGGCTGCCGCTGTACATTTTGTATATACTTGGGACAGCCCAAGACAGACACGGGGCCCCACACGACGAGGGCGAGGGGATGGTGCCGACTGCCAGCAGCAGGCGCAGGAACGGGGGTGGCTGACACCATGACGCCGCTCGAGGTCCTGCCTGTGGGACACTGTTGAGTGCTTGGGCACAGAGACCCGTGGGCGACAGGCAGTCTCGGATATTCCTTTGAATGTATGGTTCACAGAGACACACACACTTTGGGGGTTTGTTTTTAAACACAAAGCTGTTAATACTTGTATTTTCCTGGCATCAGGATCGAAGCAAATGAGGTTAAAAGGTTTGACGTGTTCTTGAAGCTTCTACACTTAGCCGTTCACTGGCCCTTTGAAAGGCCTTTGGGAGCAGATGGACTTTAACTTTTCAGTCCAGCACACATTTCTTTCAGGGAAAATCAGTGTCAACAAATTTCAGTGCTCAACTCCTTTGCTTTGGGGTAGGGTTTGTCCCTCACTTCAGCATGGATAGTCGCTTTACATCACCAGGTGGGGAAATGACAGAAACGTGCTTTTCTGCTTAGTTTGCTCTACTGAGTGAGAGCTTCACAGTCAGACCCCTATGCTGACCCTCATTAATTGGGGGCATCTCCCTTTGCTGAGACCAGTGGGAGCTGCAGTCTGACGCAGACAGACACAGAAGTAGCCCTCTGCTCTCCCTAATGGTCCTGTTGGAGTCCCTGGGGGGGTTTACTTCACTGTATGAATAGGAACCAAGAAATCTATTCTTAGGGGTCTTTTCAGGTTTTCTCTTGAATGTTGCTTAAAAGCAAACACTAACATTCTCCGAATCAGAGGACTGTTTTTATTTGGATGGCATCAAGGGAGAAGGTCCAGTGTGGCCACTTCCTACCACTGTTCTGTGGGGTCGCACTGCCCAGCAGCATCCTCCCCGGGCTCCGGCTGGGATTCACCTTTTCTTCAGACTGTTGGCCGTTTTCCCTCGATTCCCGTGACACTCGTTTTGGTTATAATTAATATTTAACATTGAGAAATTTAACTGAGCAGACTTTATAAGAGTTCCACAAGGCACTTGAGGTGTTACAAACGTTTGACTGGCTTAAGCAGTTTCATGGTGTAACATAAATGTATTTTCAGAAAAAAGATGAAATGATGGTGCTGACTGGTTTTCTGGAGTTTTATGTATATTGCACAACAGTCCTGAAATACACACAGACTACATGGCTCTTTCTGTCACTCAGAATTGGAACCCATGCCTGTTCAGCCGAGTTGAACAAAACATATACAGATATTTCATATATTACAGGATAAGTATATAAATCAGAATTTCCTATATAAAACTAATTTGGGAGTTGGGTGCAAATATTTTGAGTATTAATTTATTTTTAAAGATGCAAGATAGGACTTTGTGCAGTGTATTTTTGTAAATGCTTTTCCAAATATATGTCTCTGGTAGTGCTCTTGTTGCTGCCACCAAACTAAGATGCTATTGAAATGTTTAAATAAAGAGTTTTAATTTTAAAAAGTGCATGAGATACTTCTAATGAAAAATAAAATGGCCTATTTCTAGTCGGCATGCGTTGTTTGTGCCGGAGGGTCAACCAAGCCTGCGCCGTGTTGGCACCTGCCCTGCACTCCCTGCAGCGCTGCCAGGTCCCTCACCCTCTTCGTTCCCCTTTGGTGCCCCCAGACGGCTTACTGTGTGCCTGGCGCCCAGAGACCGAGGCCGGAGCACAGAGAGGCCGAGCCCGGTTCCGCACGGCCATACGAGATTCCCCGCAACACAGCTGGCTTCCTCCCGGCAGCAGGTGTGCCCATGGGTGCACGCAGACAGGCCATCCCTCCGCTCTGTGCTCGCTGTACCCCGGAGGTCGGTACTGTGTGGGGCTCCCGGGTCCCAGCGCGAAGAGCTCCCCGGGATGACGCACACGCGAGCCGCTGGACCTGGGCCGGCCGCTGCCCGCGCGGTCAATACACTCTCCGGGGCCGGCAGATGCGGGATAGCCCGGCGGCCACCCAGCGTGCCCTGGAGATTTGGCCACGCGACTGAAGCACCTCCCGTTACACCCTCTCCACCCGCTCAGTACAGCCCAATGGCAGAGGCCCGCGGGACCCGGCCCCAGACCCTACGGCGTGGCCAACTACGTCACTGCGCCGCCGCGGTCACGTGGCCGCTCGCTCGGCCAATCCCGCGGTCACGTGGCCGTCCGCCCTATTCGCGGTCACGTGACCAAAGCGCAGCTCCTCGTGGGCCACCGTAGAGAACGTCGGGCTGCCCCCGGGACGGGAGCCGAGAGGCGCTGTCCACCGCGCCTGCGACAGCGTCAGCCCTGCGCGGAGCGCCGGCCCATGGCGGCGGCGATGGCCGAGCAGGAGGGCGCCCGCAACGGGGCCCGCAACCGCGGCGGCGTCCAGCGCGTGGAGGGCAAGCTGCGCGCTAGCGTCGAGAAGGGCGACTACTACGAGGCGCACCAGATGTATCGGACCCTGTTCTTCAGGTAGCCGCCGCCTCCTGGGGGGTTCCCGTCCGCCCCGCCCGCAGGCGGGCTCTACTGCGGGCGCGGAGCGGGTGAGAACGGGCTGCCACGCGGCGGCTGATGGAGCTCCCCGGCCTCGCCCCCGCCCGCCCACCCTGCGCACCCCCGGGCTGGTTCCTCGGGCGCCTGGGCGTCTGAAGCCCGCGCGCGGAGTCTCACGGTTTTTTCTTTCGTTCGGCATCCGGTCCCATTTCTTTCCGTTCTGGTGTCCTCGCTCCCCCCTTCGGCGTCGCGACCGAAGCAGCTGTGTTTACTGCCCGGCACAGCGGGGGCACCTGCGCTGGCCGCGGGCCACGTGCGTGGGACTGGGTCGCTGAGCCGTCTCGCGGCTCCTGGGCGCCTGGGTTCTTGTAGAGGAGCGGCCCCGGGGCCTGAGTGACCAGCTCCCGCGCTGCACGGCCAGCACCCGGGCTCCCTTGGGCGTGGTGTCTCGGGGTTCCCACGTCCCGCCACAACTGCTGTCCGGTCACACTCTTCGTGTGCTTGTGAGCGAACACCACGTCGTGCAACCCTTTGCGGTTTGCGGCCGTTCATCAGATCGGGACAGGTCCCGAAAGCGACTTGCAGGATTCATTTTGTCCGTGCAGAGCCATGGGGACAGGCCATGGGGTCAGCCCTTGGCACCAGGAGCCAGGTTGTGAAGCTGCTGCCCTGGGGCAGTTAAATCAGTGTTCCTGGCTCTTGGAGGTGGTGTTTGCTCAGGCCTTAGTTGACCGGTTTCTATTGGGGTTGAAAGCGTGGCCCCCGACTGAGCTTGGGCTGCGTAGCTGGAGGGCTGAGTAGATAGTTCTTCAAGGGACCGACCCCCAGCCAAGACAAGGCCATTGCCGCTGCTGCCCTCGCCCTGCCTGCGTTGCTGCCGTGGGAGCTACTGTAACCTCAAGGTCGCCTGGTGCTGGTTAGTCCCCGGATTCACGTCACTGTCCGCCCCAGTGATTAATCAGCAAAAGTGGATCTTCCCAAAACAAATGCTGCCTACCTTGTTTCCAGCCCGTCCCTCGGAGATGCTGCAGAGAAACGGGATGAGCCTCACAGTGGCGAGTCCCTGGGCCCAGGGGAAGGGATGAATGGGCAGCTGCCCCCCCAGCCCAGCCTCCCACCCCTGCTCTGCAGCCCAGGACCCGACACCTTGGTAATCCTCTGAGCCCTGGCTTCGTCGATGGCCATTGATGGGACCCCTCTGCCCATTTAGGAATCCTGAGAAGTAAGCGGTCTGCCGAGGGCCTTGTTGGAGATGTGTCAGCGGTGACTGCAGCAGTATCCAGGAGGCCACCCTGAACCAGGCAGGAAGGTCCCTGTCCCCCTAGGGCGCACTGCGCAGGCCCTGCGGTGTGAGGGTGCTACAGTGTGCAGTCGGGGAGCCCTCGCAAACGCACACCCCTGAAATGGGCGCCAACAAGATACAGAAGTGCTCGCCAGGTCTAAGGTCTCCTCAGCCGCAGCCTGTGCCCGGCGCCTGCCGAGCTGGTGCGGTCAGCAGACGTGTGTTGTTTGCGGTTTCACACGGGCAGCATCTGTCCCACGGTCGTGCTGCGTTTGTTCAGTGGGATTGTTTCCAGGTGCACGCGCGCATGTGTGTCGGTGCGTTGGTCGTATGAGTGGTGGGCCATTTTGTGGGTGGACCCCAATGTGCCCCGTCACCCCTGGGCCAGATAACCATGTCATGACTCTCTGACGCACTCACATCAATCCTGACGCAGTTTGAGGAGGAGTTGGGCCACTTGGCCAGCTGGGTGGCGTCACCTGGGGTGTGTCCAAAGGACTGGGTGTGGCCACTGGTGCCCAGGCTGAGCGCAGGCATCAGTGTTTAGCTTGGCCTCACGGAGGGGGGAGGGGCCTTGGGCTCCTTGTCTCCTTGGACCTTTCTCACATAAGTGTTATTTTGTCTTTTCTTTTTTTAAGATTTATTTATTTTTTAGAGAGAGGGGAAGGGAGGGAGAAAAAGAGAGAAGCATCAGTGTGTGGTCGCCTCTTGCACACCCCCTACTGGGGACTTGACCCACAACCCAGGCACCTGCCCTGACTGGGAATTGAACCAGTGACCCTTGGTTCCCAGGCCGCTGCTCAATCCATTGAGCCACACCAGCCAGGTCATTGTTACTTTGCCTTGATGGACTGTCCCCTTCTTCCTGTGAAATGCCCGTCTTTGTGTGCTGTTGCCTTTCTTGTCCTGAAACTTATTTTGCCTGAGGTGGTGGCTGCCCCCACGTTCTTCTGGAGACCATGGTCCTGGACTCCTGGTTCGTCTTTGGGCCGAGGGGGTCCCCCACAGGCCAGCACAGTTGGGTCTCAAGTCGTGACTCACTGGCTCCCCAGGGGCTCTGGCAGGCAGTGGCCTGGGAGGGTTCGCAGCCGCGGCCGTGCAGCCTTTGTTTCTGGCTGTGCACTGGCCCCACTGGTTCTCTGTCCGCGTGTGTCCGGCTGCGGGCCAGCGATTTCCTCCAGTGTTTCCCTCTGTTTTCTCTCCCCACGTTTCCCGTTGGCCCCAGGGCTCCGCACTGTGGGCGGGTGAGGCCTGTGGAGTGCACCCCCCCCCCAGAGGAAGCCGCTCTGGGTCTCTGGCTACTGTCTTCACTCCCTGTCCGAGGGCCACTGGCCCCTCCTCACTGTTCCTGTTTGTCCCCAGGGGTTTCTCTCTGAGAGCATCACTCCTCAGTTCTGGTGAGTGGAGGCATCGGCAGTTACCTTAATCCTTCTTTTCCCTGTAACTTTGATGCTTAATGAAGTGGTTTTCACACCCTGCTCTGGATTCAAGTTACAGGGTTTTCCCCCCGACTGTGTGTCCCACCCCCGAGGGCCTGCTTGCTGGACCAGGCCTTGGCTGCTGGCTTCTCTGTCTGGTGTTCTCTCCAACGTCCTCCGGCTGCTCTGGGCTGCGGAGTTCCGGCTGGGGAGTCTGGTGGGGTCTCTGCAGGTCGCCATCTCCTTCCTGGAGGCCTTGGGAGTGCTTTTTTTTTTTGTCACTTAACGTTTTCGACAGTGTGAGTAGCCTATGTCCTGAGGAAGGTCTTCTGCGTTGCGGTGACGGTGTCCTGCCAGCACCTGAGAGGCTAGTTTTCACCCTGCATCTGGGGAGTTCTCAGCCCTTCGTCCCTACCTGCCCTCTGCTCTTTGCTCCCCCCCTAGCTCACTCTGGACCGGGACCCGAGGGCAGTGCCCTCCTGCCCTCCCGTCCCTCCTGTGGGCCTGGCTTCAAGCTGCTCCTCCTTGGGGCCCGCTGTCCCCCCACACGTCCCCTGCCCCCAGCACAGAGCTCTGCAGCTCAGGCTCCAGTTTGATTCTTGTCATGTCCCTTTGGTGACTTGATCCTTCATTTTACTCCCGAGCACACACAGCTGCCACCGGAGAGCCTGCAGCCTGTGGGGTGGCCTCCTGGTGGCTGTCAGGAGTTCTGCCTCCTGTGGCTTTGAGTTTGGTCTCTGGGCATGGGTCGTGTTCTTTCCTGGTGGCCCCGCTGTTCACCGTGCTCCTGGGGCTGGTTTCCAGGGCGAAGCGTGGTTCCTGGCTCGAGTACCCCATTCCTTGTAAGTAGTTCGGGCTGGTAGTTAGCGGTCATTCTTCTGCTTTCCAGTAGGTGGCACTACACCCAAGTTTTTTGTCACCTGGGCTGCCTGCCCCCCCTGGGGCCTGGGAGCCTCGGCCCCCACCCTGGGGACCAGGGTGGTGGTGTCCCCACAGAATTCACGTCACCTCGGAGCCACCACCGTGGCAGGGGTGTGGCAGGTGGGGGGAGTGGGCTCTCGAGCTGCTGCCCGCTCCTGTGCCCTGTAGCCACTGCCGCCAGGCTCTCTGGGGACAGAGCTGGCTTTCAGGTGCTGGCACTGCCATTGGTCCCTGTGGGAGCCATTCCTGTATTTGTGGGGGGACCATCCCTGCCCCCCATGTTCCCGGGTGCCAGAGTGGGGGTCTCTCAGGCATCCTCTTTCGGGGTGGGGGGAGGGCAGGGAGCCTTTGTTTGGACATATCAGGTGGCAAGCTGTTGACTTTCGGGGAGACACACAGGGTCTGCCTCACTGCAGGGGGCTTCTTTTGACAAATCAGAAAGTGCCCCGTGAGTGATGTCCTCCACCAGCAGCTGGTTGTGGCTGGCAAGCAGCACCCTGGTGTGGGGAGAGTGACCCGGACGCTCTGGGCCCTGCTCAGTCGCCAGGGCCCTCCTGACCCAGTGCTCCACCCACACTCACCGTCCTGCTGCCTCTCAGCCTCACCTCTTTTCCGGCTTTCCTGGGTCCCTCCGGGGGCTGCGGCCTGTGAGCCCTGTGCTGCCATCTGTCCTCTGCCCCTCGTCCTCGAAAACAGGCTCCACTGTCCCGGCAACTCCGCGCGCCTGCCTCTCAGGCTTGTCTGTCCCCCGTCTGGTGTCTCAGATGTCCGCTCTACCTGCCTGAGACGGAGGAGCCCGGTGTGTGTCCTCAGCAAGCTGAGAGCGGCTGCGGGCCCGAGGGTCCCTACAGGTGGAGCCCTGTGTGGGAGCTCGTCGGGGCCCCTGTGGCGGAGCTGGGAGTAGGTCACATGTGTGTGTGGCAGGAGGGGTGTTGGCTGACCGCAGGAGACCACACCCAGCTCTTGTCGTCGTCCTGGCAGGAGGGGCCGTGTCGATGTCTGCGTGTGGGCGTCCCTGTGACCTCCAGGCACCGCCCTCTGGGTGGCTGGGCGTGACTGGCACCCTGCCCCGCTCCTCTGTCACAGGTACATGTCGCAGAACAAGCATGCGGAGGCCCGGGAGCTCATGTGCTCAGGAGCCCTGCTCTTTTTCAGCCACGGCCAGGTAAGCAGTGGGCGTCACCGGTGTGTCCCCTGCCCGGGGAGCAGGGATGGCCTGGGGCCATGACACAGGCCCCGCACCGTCTGTGGGGCACTGTGCCGGGGCCGGGGGTCTGGGTGGCCTGGCTGTGTCTTCTGGACCCAGGGTCCTCATTCTGATCCTGGGGGTCTGGTCTGTTTTCACATCTCATAGCAAAACAGCGCTGCAGACTTGTCCATGCTGGTCTTGGAGTCGCTGGAGAAGGCCGAGGTGGAGGTGGCCGAGGAGCTGCTGGGTGAGCTTTCTCCCGGGTGACCCTCTTTCCCATGTGCATGGGGGGCACTGCACTATCGGCCACCGAGACCTGCCCCCGTGCTGCTGCCAGGAGACCCGGCTGCAGGCTGCCTTCTCTGGGCGCGGTTGGGAGCAGCTGGGCGGCATGGGGCCCTGTGGGGCCCCACCCACACACCTCCGGGGGCTGTGAGCCCCGCACTGCTGGGGAGAGCGGGGCCGTGCCCGCTTCTCCCGTGAGGGTCTATGTGTTGTTTCTAGAAAGCCTGGCGAGACTGTTCAGTCTGATGGACCCAAACTCCCCGGAGCGAGTGGCCTTCGTGTCCAGAGCCCTGAAGTGGTCCGGCGGAGGGTCTGGGAGACTGGGCCACCCCCGGCTGCACCAGCTGCTGGCCCTCACCCTGTGGCGAGGTGGGTCTGCTGTGGGCGCCAGGCTTCCTCAGCTCCCCTCACTCCTCTGCCTCCTCTCGGTCATGCCGCCCAGCCGGGGATGCCCCCCAGCGGGGCTGTGACCATGTGGCGGGGCCTGGGCCACATCCTGCCTTCCGTACCATTCTCAGGCCCCCTTGCTACCCAGCACTGGTCATCTCTCAGGGACATTGCCCCCAGGCCAACACCCAGCGGCGGTACCCGCTTTCCTGTGCTTGTCCTGCTTCTCACTCAGTGCCCTGGGATTCCTGTGTGGGTGCCGAGCTCCAGCCTGTGGCTCAGGCCCACTTGTGTGTCTACCTATGTGCCAGGCACAGCTTCACAAGGACAAGGCCACTGAGCAGAGTGGCTATCAGCAGGCAGCTCGGGGTCCCAGCACCGGTGGGCATGGCCAGGGTGCAGCCTCCCAGGCTTCAGAGGGACAGGCAAGCACGTGGGGGGGCGGCCCCTGGGGGCCCCAGGAGACACACGGCCTCATTTCATCAGGCCGGCCTGGAATAGGCTCAGCGTAGGTCCCGGGCTCCTGACGGCCTCTGGCTTACAGTCCAGCCAATGCACACAGGACGTGGGGAAGCCGCCCCGTTGGGCCGTGCAGCGGGGACGCTGCCCTCACAGCAGTTTGCTTGGGGGCAGCGAGGGGCAGCCCAAGCCTCTGTGTGTGGGGCAGGGGGTGGGGGGTGCAGCCCGAGGACAGGTAAGTTGTTGGGAGTGTGAGAGAGGGCACATCTTCAATTTTTCTAAGTACTGTATTTATTTCTTAGAGGGAGAGGGAGAAGGAGAACCACAGATTGGCTTCCTCTTGCACACCTCTATCCAGGGGCTGAACCCACAACCAGGGCTGTGCCCTGACCAGGGAACGCACTATCGACCTTTCTCTTTGCCGGACGACGTCCATCCCATGGGGCCCTGCTGGTCGGGTCGGGAGGCTGTCCCCAAAGGCTTCTGGGATGCCTTTGTAGGGACAATGCCTCTCTCCCCCTCACAGAACAAAACTACTGCGAGTCTCGGTACCACTTCCTGCACTCCACCGACGGGGAGGGCTGTGCCAACATGCTGGTGGAGTACTCCACCGCCCGGGGCTTCCGCAGCGAGGTGGACATGTTCGTGGCCCAGGCCGTCCTGCAGTAAGTAGGGGCCGGCTCACACCTGTCCCCTGTCCCCTCCCCCGTCACCTCACGCTGGCTCGAAGGCCGTGTCCATGCTTCCCAGAGTCCCTGCAGCAACACATTGCCCCCGTGGGCACTGGCGCGCACGGCCCTTCCTCAGCTGTCTTTCCGACAGGTTTTTTTTGAGTGTTGATGCGTGCACAGCAGAGGGGAGAGCCGTGCAAGGGTCCCGGCCCCGGTCACGCGGCCACCAGTGCCAGGGCCCCACCCCTTCCGGTGGGAGTGCTGCTCGAGGGCTGCACTCGCTTCCCACACAGACACGCTCGGGTCTGGAGGCCAGGCGTGGGGGAGGGCGTGCCGTGGTGCGAGGGGTGTCCGCTGCACCGTGGGGCTTCCAAGCTCAGGTGCGACGCCGTGTGTTACGGGTCCCAGCCCACCGGCCAGGCACACGACATTCAGTGGAGGTGCTCTCTCTGGGCCGAGCCTGGCTCTGCGTGGAGGGTCACCAGCCCCCTTCGCATGGGTCCTTCTCTGTGCCCTAACGAAAGGGGTCCCATCACGGGTGCCCACGCCTCTGCCTGCCCCACAGTGGAGGCCTCCTCCCCGGGGCCTCAGACTCCCAGTCCCTGGGCTGTGCGCACGTGGGCCGGGCCCCAGCCTGTGCTGACAGGTGTGTGCGGTGGCTGTTCCCACCTGTCTGCCCTGCCCACCCGGCTCCCGGGTCGGGCCGCAGTGCTGTTGGAGGCGAGGGCCTTTTGGCCACACTCAGGAGGACTGCGCCCTCACCACAGGTTCCTGTGTCTGAAGAACAAGAGCAGCGCGTCGGTGGTGTTCGCGACGTACACCCAGAAGCACCCCTCCATCGAGGACGGCCCTCCCTTTGTGCAGCCGCTGCTCAACTTCATCTGGTTCCTGCTGCTGGCCGTGGACGGGTGAGTGCGTGCGGTGTGTGCGGGCGAGTGCGGCCCTCGCATCCGCCCGTGTCCTGGGCAGCCACGGAGCTGAGCCCCTGCTGTCTGTTCCAGGGGCAAGCTGACGGTGTTCACGGTGCTCTGTGAGCAGTACCAGCCGTCCCTGCGGCGGGACCCCATGTACAATGAGGTGAGGGGGCAGGGCTGGGCCTCCGGGGGCGGGCGGCGGGGTCTCCGCGCCCCCTCATGGCTGCCTCCGCCTCCCTCAGTACCTCGACAGGATAGGACAGCTCTTCTTCGGGGTGCCGCCCAAGCAGACGTCTTCCTACGGAGGCTTGCTAGGTAAGGCCCAGCTCAGGGCCCGGCTTGCACGCCTGCCGGCCACACCTTCACCCACCCTGAGGCCTTCCCCCCATTCCAGTGTGGTCGCCTGGGCTGCCCTGGGCTCCCTGTCCACGGCGGCAGAGCAGAGGCTGGGTTTCTCTTTCTGCTTTTTTATTGTGGTGAGACAAATGGAACGCAGAACGGATCGTTTTCACGACTTCTGAGTGTGTGGCTCAGGGGCACCGAGTACACACACTGCTGTACGGCCATCAGCCCGTCATCCTCCCCAGGATTTCTTCACTTCCTCCCCACCCCCGACCCTCCCCACACAGCCCTTCCCAGACACCCCCCCCCTTCTTCCTGGCCCCCAGCGCCCCCTCCCACAACGGCCGCCCAGGCCCTGGGGACTTGGCTCTTCCAGGTGCGCTGAGAGCCACAGCCCCTTGCCTGGGCTGCTGCCGCCTGCTGGCTGCTGTGGGTCTGAGTCAGGGGGCGCCCTGTGCTGCCGCCTCAGCCTTTCCCGTCTCAGCTCCTATGTTCTGGCCTCGGGTGCATTTTCAGTCCATTCTCGCATGCGCATCGCGTCAGGGTCCAACTTCCTTCTTCCCCTGGGGGCACCCCGTGCGCTCAGCTGGTTTTCAGCAGGTGGCCTGCCCGTCGCCAGCCTCCGTGCCCCCATCCACTGCTGCATGAGCTCGTGGTTTGCTCCTGGGCTGCCCAGTCCAGCTTGGGTGCCGAGGGCCCATCTCCTGAGGCCAGGACACTGCACGACCTTGGGAGACAGGAGCCTCCGGCTTCATTCTTTCTCTTCCGGGCTGTTCTGGCCGCTTCGTCCCCTTGAAATTCCACAGGGATTTCAGGGCGAGTTTCCCCGTTTCTGCAGAAAGTGTCACTGGGGGTGTTGAGAGGGAGGGTGGCTGGAGGTGACGCCGACGTGTCCACTGTCCAGAGTCTTCTGATCTGGGATATGGGGCTGGTGTCCATGCGTCTTGTCCTCCGCTTCTTCCTGCAGCGTCTGTGGTTCCTCGTAGGCATCTCTTCTGAAGACTGTGCTTTCGAGCCTGTCGTAGGTGGGACTGTGTTTGTGATTCCTGGTCCAGGTTCTCCATGCTGCTGTGCAAAACGCAGGGGATTTCTGCACTTGGTTTTGTATCCTGCAGCTTTGCCGAACTCCTGCGTTAGTTGCAACGGTTTAGAAGTAAAACTGTTAGGATTTTCTGCATGTAAGGTCATGTCACCTGCAAACAGGTAGTTTTACCTTTTCCCTTCCAGTCTGGATGCCTTTTCTTCCTTCCCTGGCCTGCCCGCCCCGGCTGGGACTCCAGGCCAGGACACTGGTCTGCACCTGCGCTTAGCGAGGAGCCGTGGCATGTGGTGTGTGGTGATGGCTCCCACCTGTTCCTCTCGTTGAGTGTTTTCATGTATGAGTACTGAGTTTTGTCAAATGCTCTTTGCACATCACTGAAGATAACTGTGGGGTTTTCTGCCCTCGAGTCCCAGGAGCAAACCCCATTGGCCGTGGGGCATGAGCCTAAACAGGCAGCGAGTTTCATTCGCTCGTGTTGTTGGAGGGAGGGCTTTGTGTTGCTGTTCACCAGGGATGCTGGTCTGTAGTTGTCTCCTCCTGGGGCTGTTGGTCGGCCACACTAGTCCCGCTGGTGAGCCGGGACGCGTTCCCTGGAAGGTGTCATGGGGCTGCTGGCTCTTGCAGGAGTGTCGTCCTGGGCCTTGGCCAGGAGGTTTGCTGACTGGCTCCGCCCCGAGACCCCTCCGCAGGTCTCTCAGAGACGTGTCTTGGCAGGTGTTAGAGGCCTCTTCCTCCGCCTCTTCCTCCACGTCCTGCCCCACCTCACCTGCTGGGGCCTTGGGTCCAGGTGCCCAGTGAACCTGGGCCTGGACGGCACCACCTCCTGGCAGCTCTCCGGCAGCAGCCTGCGAAGTGGGCTCCGTGGGGCGGTCTTCCTGTCTCTGAGGCCGTGGAAGCCACCAAGTTGCTGTGTGTGCGCCGCCCTCTGCGCCCTCAGGGCTGGGCCACCAGCATGACAAGGATGCTCCACGCACTGTGGCCGTGTCTGTGGGGCTCAGTCCCAACTGCACACCTCCTCGCAGTGCCCTGCACCTGCCTCAGCCTCCCCACCAGCGTGCGGGTTGGGGAGGGGCCTCCCGACAACCCGGGGCTCACTCTCCACGCGTCCACATTCCCTGATGGTCGGTTCAAGGGGATGTTCCAGACACTGCATCTGTGTCGGTCTGACAACAGCTCTTCGGGTGATGGAGACAGTGCCGGGCCGGCAGCAGGTGGCCCTTTTCCACGAAAGCCCCTGAGACTGGGGCATGTCAGACCAGCCTCTGTGTGCGTCTGCGCCACGGGACGGCCAGCCTGCCCCCTGGGAGCTGGGCTGCAGCTCACACCCACAAGTTTGCCCCGATGCATCTCGTGGGGGGAGAGGCTGCTGTGGGTCTGTGGCTCTGGGGAGGGGCCACAGGCCCTGACCGTGTGTCTGCTTCCAGGCAACCTCCTGAGCAGCCTCATGGGCTCCTCGGAGCAGGAGGGCGAGGACAGCCAGGATGACAGCAGCCCCATCGAGCTCGACTGACGCCTCCTGCACCTGCAGGAGCCCTGGGCCCCCTTCCCACTCTGAGGCTGTGGCAGCTGCACGGTGGCGCCTGTGGGCAAGCCCTGGCCGAGGGCGGGGCGGCCGCGGCCTCCGATTGCCCCACAATAAAGCACAGGCCTGCGTGCCGGCCTCTCCCAGTCCTTTGTTTCTGGTTTGCTTTGGGTGCCGGGGGGCTGCCGTCGGCCGACCCCATGTGCACGTCCCTGGTGGCCCTGGGCCACTCCCCGCCATGTCCCGGGGGCCATAGCTGCCACCGGGCACTGGGCACACGTGCGGAGGCCGTGGGACTCGCACCTCATGGAGCCGTGTGTTCCCCTGTGGCGCTGCCTCCGACCCGCGTCCTGGGCGTTGACTGGCGAGCAGCCTGCAGCGAGGCCCGGTCCACGGACGCCCACAGGTGCTCCAGTGCAGCTGGAACAGGACACACTCTCTCCACAGTCAGAAACGGGCTGTGGACGGACACACGGTGACCAAGCTAGGAGGGGCGGAGCGTGCGGCTCTGTGTGCTGTAAAAGCGGGACTCAGAGGAAGGTTGTGTTACCTGTGGAGTCAAATAAACCCTTTCTACCGGGCTTCGCAGCACTGGCTCTTTCTGAGGGGCTCCTGGGGAAGGATGCCACTGAGCAGAGGCCTGCAGTGCCAGCCAGTGCACCCGGGGCCAGGGCAGGGGGCGCGGACGGCAGCACAGGGGAGTCCCCCTGGGTTTTTGTTTGGAGAAACCGAGTCTGTGGACAGGTCAGGCAGGGTGCACAGCTGCTGCGGGTGGGCCCCAGGGAGCACCCTGCAGCTGGGGACCCCCCGGCCACCTGCTGGGGTTCTCTGGGGAGGGTGGAGTGGGGTCTGAAACCATGAGTTGCACCGGACAGAGTGGCCACACTCAGGGACGGGATGCAAGTTTTATGTGCAGTTGTGCCCAGGACACAGTCCAGGCAGACTCGCAGGCCAGCCGGGCAGCACACGTGTGGTCAGTGCAATGCCTCCTCCTGCCTTGGCCTTGGAACTGCACACTAGTCAGAGCCCATTGGCTGGGCCACTGGGCAGCAGGGCCAGCAGCCGCCCTGCAAGTCAGGGAAGGCGCAGTCCTTTGCTGGGAACTTGGTGTCCCTGTAAGGTCCTGCCAGCCTGCAGATTAAGACGGGAGTGGCTCTGTCCACACAGGGGCCTGTGGCCAGCAGGATGGCCAGCCCTGCGGCCAGCCTCATCTCTGGTTCTGAGGAGTTCGCCTGGCCAGTCCTGACGCCCTCCTTGTGTTTCTTGTTAACACACTGGGGGGGTCAGTTTCCCGGCTGGACACACAGGGCAGAGCTCACAACGCCTGCACTTGTGGAGCAGGTGCCCCACTTCCGGGTGCGGGGAAAGGGCGAGGCCGCCAGCCCAGGAGGGCCAGGGGGCTGCTGGCCTGCACATGGGGCCCCTCGGGGTTGCCCTCTGACCCAAGTCTCCCCTCGGTCAGTGAGGGTGGGTGGCAGTGGGGGCGGGGCAGCAGCAGACCTTGATTCAGAGGAAAGGGGCAAACCAGCCGCCCCCACTGGGCAGGTCTTGGGGAGGTACCCCATCTCCTCAACCAAGCACCATGGCCTCCTGGGGAACAGGCCCTGCGCCACCCCCTCCTCCCAAACACCGTCCCACAGACCCCCCCGCCCCACTCGGTGGAGCCAGTCGGTGGCTGTAACTGTTGAGGGGACGGCAGCATGCTGGGCCACTGGGGGGAGCTGGCCTTAGGCCTCCATCTTTTGAGGGTTGGAAGACAGCAAGGTCAGGCCTGGGAAGGGGTGGCGGCGCCTGGGCAGCACTGAGGCACCCCAGGGAGGGGGCCGGGTGTAGGCCACCTGGAGGCCTCTGACCCTCAGGACCCACGTGCCCTCCGGGTCAGCTTGAGGTTGAGATTTGTGCCCTTCCCTCCAACCCCCAGGACCGAGAGACTGATACCCAGCAGATGCTCAATAAATACTTATTGGGGGGGTACTCGAGGGTAGGCATGCAGACCGCCTGTAGTCCCCAGTCCAGCCCCCTGGTCCGGGGGGCGCCACGACGGGGGGTGGCAGAGTGAGTCAGCGAGGGGCCGTGGGGCCCCCAGGGGGCGCCGGGGGTTGGGGCAGTGGGAGTCTTCTGTGGCCGGGCGGCGCACAGCACGGCTGCAGGGGTGGGTCCTGGTGGCTCAGGTCCCCGCCACGTCCAGGCTGCCCGGGCGCTGGTGGCTGGCTTCCTTGGTCCGAAGGCCCCACCACCCGGCCCCATTGCCGAGTCCACGTTCCTCAGGCCTCCGGGACCATCCTCGCTAGGGCTTGTGCTTGAAGTGGGCTTCCACTGGAAGAGGGACAGGTGTCGGGCTGCACCACAGCCGCACAGGGCTGCCCCGCTCAGCCCCCCAGCCCCGGCCCTCACCTGCGTACTCCTGGGGCAGCATGGGCCTGTCCACCACCTTCCGGAAGGCCTCCACCCACGCCTGCTGCTCTGCCTCCGTCTCACAGGCCAGCAGGAACCTGCGCTCCGGTGTGACGATGGTAATGCCATGAGGCCAGTGGTGGCCCTGGGTGGACGGGGGGAGCCTGTCCAGCACCGTGTAGCCACTCTCCCTGCTGCCGATGAAGACCTCTCCCCGGGCGAAGGCATCCTGCAGTAGGTGGGGGGTGGCGAAGGCTGAGTGGTACAGGGACCCTGCCCTCTGTCCTCCCCACCCCAGGGGCATGGGGGCCACCAGGGCTGTTTTCTGGGCAGCTTCCTGTCTAGGCCCAGCGCCCCAGAGCCACCCCTCCTCCTTCCCAGTGGACCTGGCCCCCCAGGGTGCACTCGGTCTTGGGGCGGTGAGAGCAGGTGGCACGCCCGGTTGGCATGGCCCTGAGCCTGGCCAGGGCCCCGGCTCACCAAGGGGTCCTTGAAGTACATGAGCCTGCGATCATCCATGGTGAACCAGCGCCTCCGGAAGCCTTCTGTCTGCTGTGGGTCGGAGAGCCAGGGTCCCGCTGTCATCTGAGGCCTGCCCTCGCCCCCAGCTGACCACAGCTCACCCCGGGAGGGCAGGACCTTCACCTTGGCCGCCCCCACCCCCTGTGGGCTCAGGCAGGGTCTGGGCTGTGGGGCCACCTGAGTGCTGGGAGGGAGACCAGCAGGGGCCCAGGTACAGGGTAGAGGGGTGGGGCCTGATCTGAGCAGGGGGCCCATCAGTGGGGCCCCTGCTCTTACAAAATATTTTGGGGGCCATGGCCATCACCCCAAGATGACCCTGCAAGGGACATGCCAGCAAGCTGAGGCCTCACCTTTCCGCCCCCAGGTAACCCCCCCAGGTGACCGGCGCTGACTCCTGCGTGAGGCCCAGGGGTCAGCGGCAGACGCACCTTGGGCCCCGTTTTCTCCATGTAGCCTTCCTTCAGGTAGTTGCGGGTCAGCTTTGGCACCAGCTGGGCAGGAAAGAGGCTTGGCTCCCCCGTCTGCCCCCCTCCACAGCTCCCCATGAACCCCAGCCCTTCCCCCTCCCCCATGGCTCAGCTCAGGTGCCCCAGAACCCAGGAGGGCTGCTGTGGTCCCTTGGGGGGGCCACTGGCCTCAGGGGTAGGGTCCATAGGGGCCACGGTCAGCCCCCAGCCCACCACCCCCTGGAGGCAGCCACGGCAGCAGCCACTCACATCAGCGTCGCTGGCCCCAGGGAAGGCCACCTGCAGGTAGTGGAAGCGGGCGGCGCGCAGAGCGTTGAACCAGTCCACCGTCTCCTGGGGGGCAGAGGCTGCATGTGGGCGCGGCGTCGGGCTGGCGAGCTCAGTGGGCCCCAGCGGCAGCTGGGGGACAGGCCACACCACCCACTCTGGCCACCTCCCACCCAGGGTGCACCTGCGGAGCCTGGGGGGACCCAGTGGAGACCCCACCTTGGGCAGTGCCCATGCCAGCTGCCCAGACCCTTAACACCATTTGGGCACTGGGGACCTGTCCTCCTCCCAGGTGGGGCTGTTCCTGGGGCCTGCTGGGGGCTCCTCAGCTTGACACCCCCACAGCTCCACCCGCCCAGGCCCACCCTGGGGTCCCTCCACCCTCTGCTCTCCGCTCTCCTTGGGCATAGGGGCTCCTGGCGAAGCTGCGGAAAACACGCTCCCAGGCCTGGAACTGGTTCTACAGGGAGCAGTCACTCCTGCTCACACAGTGCACAGGAGGTTTTCTAAAGGCCTAACCCAGGGCCGGGAAGAATGGCCCCAGATTGCTGGGTGTAGCAGCCAGGAGGCACAGAGGGCTGTGCGGTGGAGGAGAGCCAGGCAGCCTTGCCAGGGTGCACACCCCCTCCCAAGAAGCAGGGCCCCCTGCAGCTGTGGATGGGGCTCTGAGGAAGGAGACCTGGAGGAAGACTGCCCCGCCCCCTGCAGGTGCCTGAGAGTCAGGTGTGGGGGGCCACAGGGGCAGCTGCCCAGGAACGCAAGTCACAGTCCCTCCCAGCGGGCCCGTGTGGGCCGAGGGTGCCTGCCCTGGGCTGGAGGGCTTCCCTCCAGGGAAACCAACCCCCGGAAACCCGCCTGTGGAAGACGGAGAAAAGCCCCTGGACTGGCCCGGCGCTTGCCAGGGAGAAGGTGCTGAGCCGTGGACCCAGGACGCCCACTGTGGGAAGGGGCCTGGCGAGACCGGGGGCTCTGCACCTGAAAACCGGGAGCAGCAGCAAGGGGTTCAAAGACAAACGTGAACAAGTTTCCCAGGAAGCAGAGGAAAGAAGTGGAAACAGAAGAGGGAGGGGCCCAGTCAGAACGGCAGGGGTTCCGGCAAACGGGACCAGCACAGGGACACTGCCCGGTGCTATGGGCACGAGGGACCCACCTGGGCCGGGAGTGGTGGGTGCTGCAGTGCCTCCAGAGCACAAGGGCGTGCCCACTGCACCCAGAATCCCACGGTGCACCGAGTTCAGCACAGGGGCTCCGGAGATGCCCCCCGGGTGTGGGGTCTCAGGAAGCAACTGGAGGGTGTGCCCCCCAAACCCCTCAGGAGGGAGTAAATCCAGGAGGGAGGCACCAGGAAAGGAGTCAGTCAGCAGTGAGACACGGCTCCTGGACAGATGTCCCAACTGCTGGGGCTGGGACGTCCCCATTGGGCACCCGGGGCTCAGCCTGTCCGTGGAGGGTCTGAGGAGCCCTAAGCACGCAGGGAACCAAGTTGTGGGGGGAGCGGCTCTCAGCTCCAGGGAAAGGAACCGTCGGTGCCGGAAGGAAAGGTCTGCCTTCCACTCAGGTCTGACTGCAGAACACGCACGTGGGCAGACCTGCAGCTGGGGTGGCGGCGTGGGGTCCCGGGTGGAGGTGCCGTGGAAACACCTGGGAAGAGGGTTCTGGGAAGCGGGGGAGCAGGGACCAGTCTCCCCAGCTGGACATCAGCTGCGGGGCCGCCCTGCGGCCCCTCCATGAGATTACAGGCAGATTTCCCATCAGATACTTGGGGGCTGGAAGGCACTGGCCCATTTGTTCAAGGGGAACGACCTGTCAGCCGAGACTCCTGCGTCTTGGAAAACCAGCCTTCCAAAGTGAGGGGGGTTCCAGACAGACACTCTCAGGGACACGAAAGCTGGGGAGTTTCTGACCGGCAGACCTGCCCCCCAAGAAAAGCTCGAGGGAGTTCTGGGGCTGAGACGCAAGGGCCCTCACTGGGCAGCATCGCAGCCACGAGAGGGACGTACACAGCCAATGACAAAAGCGGCTACTATTGTGACAATGGCTGTGAGTGTACCTTCTGCTCCCACCTGACTTGGGAGACAAACCATTAAAACAGTTACTGGTGTGAGAGCCTGTACCATATCCATGCACCTAATGACAGACCATCAAAACACGTGAAGCAGCCCCAGCTGGTATAGCTCAGTGGACTGAGCACCAGCCTGCCAAACAAAGAGTAGCTGGTTCGATTCCCAGTCAGGGCACACACCTGGGTTGCAGGCCAGGTCCCCAGTAGGGGGCGTGTGAGAGGCAACCACACACTGGTGTTTCTCTCCCTCTTGTTCTCCCTTCCCCTCTCTCTAAAAATAAGTAAATAAAAATCTCTGTTAAAAAGTACAAATAGCTAGTTACAGAATAGCCATGGGGATGAAAAGGACATCCTAAGACTGGAGCAGCCAAAGAACTTGCTGAAAGACCCATGAAAATGAGCAACAGTGGGGGGGGTTGCCTCAGGGAGTGGGCAGTGCTAGGAGGGGGGCAAAAGGGCGAGAAATTGGGATAACTGTAATGGCATAATCAATAAAATACAATTTTTTAACAAATGAATACTATACAGAGTATCTTCTGTGACCCCAGTGCAAAAAACCCAGTAAACACAGTTGCGGAGATTAACCAACGGATCAAAGAGGAAATCACAAGGGAAAGGAGACGACACTTAGGGGCGAATGAAAACAAAAGCAGCCCATCCCAGGATCTGCAGGGTCCGACAGCAGGGCACCGAGGGGGTTTCACCGCCACTGCCCCCGCTGAGCGGTGGGAGGGACCTCAGACCAGCAGCCCGGCCCCAGCTCCGGGAGCTGGAACAAGGCCCAACTAGCCCAGCGCTGCAGGAGGAAGGCGACCACAGAGTGGAGAACAGAGGTGAAGGAAAGAGAAGAAAAACAGATACATGCCCAGAGCCAGTCCTTCAGAATGGCCCCCGGGACCAACACGCCCTGGGCTGGGAGGACCGCTGAAATCCGAAGGGAGAGCCGGGTCGCGCCACAGTCCACACGGGCACTGCCTGGGCGGCCGGACGAAACTCCGCTTCCCAGACACACACAACCGGCCAGCTGACCTGAGCAGCCCTGTGACTGTCACGAAGACCGAAGTGGCCATCGAAAATCTCCCCACAGAGGACACAGCCCCCAGGCACCACGGGCAGAGGCCGCTGACCAACCCCGAGGAGCAGCCAGCAGCCCGTCGCACCTTCCTGGGAACGCATCCCAGCTCACCTGCGGGACCAGCGGGGCCTGGACACCGAAGTCCGCCCAGCAGACCCGGGAGACGACCACAGACCAGCGGCCCCTCGTGAACAGCGACGCAAAGCCCTCCCTCCAACAACACAAACAAATGGAACTCGCTGCCTGTTTAGGTTCATGCCCCACGGCCATTGGGGTTCACTCCTGGGACACAAGGGCGGGTCAGCACAGTGGCCACCAGGGTCACGTGCCTCACACACAGAGCCCTCCTGAGCACCCACCTTCCCATCCTCGTGGTAGACGAAGATGTTGCGGGTGCTGTTGTCCTTCAGGTAGGTGACCTGCAGCCCGTGCGGGTGGCCGATCTTGGCAGGCTGGAAGGTGGCGTTCAGGTGCTCCACCTTCATGATGGCCTTGGGCTCCTTGGCCTGAGAAGTGAGGCTGGGACTTAGCATGGGGCCCTGGTTGCCTGGCTGGGGCATCTGTGGTAGGACCATTCCCCGTGTCGGGGATGTAGGGGCTATGGTGGGACTCAACACCGGGGCAGACGCCCCACCCTGCCACAGAGGCTCCTGCCAGGTCTGCCCTGCCCCGCCCCACCCCCTCGGGCAGGCCCAGTTTCCTCCTGGTCCAGGCCCAGGGCTGCCGGGGGTGAATGAGGCTGCAGCCACGGGACCACCGGTTTACCGCATCATGGGCGATGTGCTGACCCCAGCAGGTCTGGGGCAGCTGCACAGCCTTCTGGACCCTCCCTCCCCTGCCCCTCACATTTTGCCTGGGGGACCCAGGGAGACCCCAGCATCTGCTTGTTTGTCCCACTGATGCCCAGGGGTGCCCCCCCAGGGGCAAGCTCACTCCTTCTGTGACCCAGCGAGTGAGTAGGACCCGGGGTGCAGGGTGCTGTCCCAGGGCACGCGTCCCTAAGAGGGAGGTGTGGTTCCCAACAACTGCACACAGGCAGCTGAGGACATGGTGCTGCCTGCAGGGGCCAAGGGGCCGCTGCACAGGCCCCCAGAGCGGAGGCGGGTTGCTGCCCGGGATGCCCCCTGCCCCCACCCCGCCCCGCTGGCTCACGTCATTTCTGTTGAAATACTTCAGGGCTCCCTCTCGTTCAGTTAGCACAAACTTCCGGCTCAGAAACTGCCCGTTGTCCCGGCCACGCTTCCAGAGAAAACCCTCTCGGTATCCTGGGGACAGAGGGGGCGGAGCAGACACGGGGATGGGACTTGGGGGCCACCACGCAGGCAGCGGGCGTTCCCACCAGCACACGCCTGCAGGGCCGGAGAGCGGAGCCCAGGTGTGTCCACTGCCCAGTCCCCAGCACCTGGGAAGACCGCCTACAGCTCAATGGGAATTGGCAGGTATGAGGAAGGGTGTCAGGATGGGCAAGGGTCCTGGATGTCCCTGTGTCCTCAGCCAAGGTCACCACAGGGTCCTCGCACAGGGAGGCAGAGGGAGAAGTGACCACAGGAACTGGAGGTGTGCCCGGCCCTGCCCACAAAGGGGTGACCCATCAACTCAGGCTGCCTTGGCGCGGAGGGTCACGGCAGAACACAGTGCCCTCCGGTGGGCACCCTGCAGAGGTCTCTGCCCGCTCCTCCCCAGCTCCCCTCAGGGACGGTGTCAAGGGGGAGGGGACCGTTCCTCTGTAATGACGGGCCCTGTGGACACTGGCGTTGACCTGGCTCAGGGGCTCTGGGAGCAGCTGTCATGCCCAGTGTGGCCCCATCACCTGTGGGCACATCCAGGGAGGATCATAGGGTCGCAGGCAGGGCCGGTGAGCTCCATAGGAACTGCCAGGCGCCCTCCCTCTGCTCCCCACCCCGCCCCTGACTGCTGCCCGGCGGCCTCCCAACGCGGAGACGAGGGGCCACTTTATTTTCTCTGCTCTGGAGACAGTAGCCCTGGGAAAGCAGCAGCCCGGGGGCCGCAGGGGCAGCGGGTGCCCCTTCGCAGGACGCGGAGGGATCTCATCTCTCAGAGCCTGGCACTGCGGCGTGCCCAGACTCTGCACACAGTGCAGCAGGCAGCTCTGTTCCCACCACTGCGGGACGGGCCACCACCGGGTCCCCAAGCCCAGTCAGGACCCCACCAGGGGTGTTTGCTGACCCCACCGAGTGAGCACTCGGCCCAGACACAGCCTGCGGCGCAGCTCCTTTGCTGGGGGAGGGCTGCCGCCCCACGCAGTCCTCGGCTGAGGCCCCGTCCAGCACCTGACACCCATCAACCTGTCTAACCCCCAGAACACACCGCGTTCCTATCCCCACCAAGAGGAGGAAGAAACAAGCTCAGAGACTCAGGCCACTCGGCTGCAGGAGCCCTGGCTGCCTGCCCTGCCTGTGAGGCCCAGCAGGTGGCAGCAGAGCCCAGGACATGAAGGGTGGCCACACTCCCGGGCCAACACCGCCCTGGTCCTGAGATGGGCGTGGCAGGGGATGGGCTCGCAGGGCCTTTCGGACTGACCAGCCCTGTGCTTGCCGACAGCCAGCCGCCAGGGCGCCTAATTCCAGGCCCCTCGAGACAGCAGCACGTTCACTTGGGCGCTGGCCAGGGTCACCGACAACCTCTGAGCCAGGGGCCACCATCCACAGGCACCCCGTAGACACCGCCCAGCCTGCAGCATCTTCGGCCCATCCCCCACAGTGGAGGCCTGAGGGGCCTGCCTGGGTCTTAGGGGCAGCGTTGCCCGCCACCCCCACCTCCCAGCTGATGGTCACAAACTCCTCCCTCAACTAGAGCCCCTCCGTGGACCCCAGGGCGCCACAGGCCCACCCTGTGCTCGTGCTGAGGTCACATAACATTCCCACCACAGCCCAAGGCTGGGCACCGTGGCCCCACGACACGGGTGGGGAAACTGAGGCACAGGGCGGGCCTGTCACTCCCCTCAGGAAGCCCCTGGCTCCACCCACCCCGTGACGCTGGACAGAGCTGGGGTGGAGCAGGGTGGGGTGGGGGCCCGGACCTCCCGCAAGTGTGGGGGGCTGCCAGGAGGCAGGGAGATGGGGGTGCACTGCCATGGCAGGAAGGGCTGTGTCTGTCGGTGACTGGGGGCGGCCTGGGCGCCTGTCCCCAGGACAACAGGGCACATTGTCCGCGGTGAAAGGCAGCCTTTGAGCCTCCGGCTCCAGGCGGGGCCATGTCGGGAGGGAGCCAGGAGCAGCTGTTCCTGGGGTCACCCCAGACGGCAGGGGCCGGGGGCTGACACATGCCCATGACCTGGGCCGAGGCTGGCACTTGCCCGCCGGGTCCACCGGAGCCTGTGCCCACACCACACTCCCACTCCCTGAAACTGGGTCCCGCCGGGTCACCATCTATGCCCAGCTGACAGCTCCTGTCCCACTCAGAGAGGGGCCCCAGACTGCACCAGTGCGGCCCCTGCACTCCCAGGTCCCCCGTCTGGCCTGCATCTCATGACCTGCTGCCCTCAAAGGCTGCTGTCCCTCATAATGGCCTCCCCCTGAGGCCACGCATGTCTGGTGTGTGAAGTTGTGTATGTGGCCGTGACGCAGAGCCGGTCACGGGGGACCTGGGTCTGGTGGAAGTCAATGTCTCCCCGTGTCCTCACCAGAATCTTGGGACCGGGCCCTCGGATGCCAGTGCCCACAGGGGGTCTTCCCGGTTCTGTGCTTCTCCCACGCTCACCGGTGGGTTTCTTCTGTCGGACCCCCACACCGCCTGCCAGTTCCTCATCAGCTCTGGCATGGACCACCGAAGACCACCTCACCCTGGGATCCAGGCACAACCATGCCGACGCTCGCCTTGCTGGTCGGACTGGCCAGCTCTGCGAGGTCACCCTGGGGACACCACCAGAGTGATGGGCTCCTCACCCCAGGACGCGGAGGCCTGTGAGCAGGAGGCAAGCCGGGCCTGGACCTCACCGCGACTACAGGCCCGCCCGGCCCAAGCCCCGCATTTCCCCTTTCTCCTCCTAGGGGACTTCTGCATTCCACAGCGAGAAAGTGTCCTTGCGGCAAACCCGGGACAGGGCAGGAAGTGCCCACGGGAATCCCCGCGCCCCTCCTGGGCGGGAAGAGCCCTCGGATGAGACCTGTGGGCTGGGGTGCGGTCAGGCCGCCAGCCACCCATGAAAGGCTCACCTGTCCCTCTGCCCGCCCAGCCCCACTCTCTCCCGGGGACCATGAGGACTGCGCCGGTACGGAGTCAGGCAGCACGCCTTCAGGGCAGGCCACACCCTCCCTGACGGTCAATGCCACTGCTCGGTCAGAAAGGCCCTCTCACCGCAGAGCCCGCGTGCGGCAGCACAGGTGCCCGGCCAGGCCCAACGGGAGGCGGAAAGACTGGTGTGAAGCCTGACACTATGGCTGGATCAAGCCATGCCTGACAGCAGTAATTATATCAGCCAAGCTACATCCTCTGTCCCTTAGGCCTGAGCTGGACTTGAGTCCTACTGTGAACAAGGACGCAGAGCCAGTGCCGCCGTGGTTATGTCGGCCCAGCTGGCCCCGCCCAGGAGATGAGGTCACACACTGTCCTCATCCACAGCTGAGATGCTCCGGAGCCTCAGGCAGCCCACCGGGGGTTCCAGATCACACAGGTGTGGTTCAGGCCAGGATGGAGCCTGGGGGGATCACTCCGAGGGGTGAGGGCACCCCTGGGTGGCCGGCTCAGAGCCCAGGGGCCTCGGGGACGCTGCTCAGACCTGTGAGCCCCACATGGTGTCTGCAGCCCGGGGAGTGGGGGAGGGCGGGGAGGGGTGCACAACTCGGAGCTGCCGCCTTACCTGCAGAGTAGGGCTCCTGCCGCTCCGGATCGGTGAACTCCTGGCGCTCGTACTTGGCCCGGATCCACTGCTCCCGCAGGAGGCTGGGGACGGAGGGGAGAGCCAGCCTGAGCCTGGGCCAGGCAGGGGCGGCAGGGGGCGGCCTTCAGGAGGACTGCCAGGCAGAGCGGCCCTGGATGCGGGGCCGTGGGCCGGCAGAAGCCACCTGCTGCTCGGTTTCACCACCAAGCTCTCCCTCCCTCCAGGGTGAGACATAGGTCACCCGCCATCGCTGTCACCCTCCTGCCATGCCCCCTTGTGCACAGCCGAGTCCCGAGGTTTGCAGCCATCGCCACGACCCTCTTCCAGAACATTCCGCTGCCCCCAGTAAAAACCAGTGCCCATGAGCAGTCGCTGCCAGGCTCCAGCCCATCTGGGCTGGTGGGTTCTGACCCCGGTGTCAGTGACAGTGCGGTGTGGCAGCCCCAGGGACTGGCGTCCTCACTGGGTGCCTACGTGCAGACTCCCCTGGAGCCCAGGGCTCTCCCGTGGCCAGTGCCCATGACGCCCACCTCCTTTTAATGTGAGCATCTGGATGTGAGGGGGCTGGACTCATGCAAGAATGTCGAGGAGAAAGGCCAGGGCTGAGCGCCCACAGTGAGGCCAGGCATGTCCCTGAGTGCCCTGGGGCTGCCGTTACTAGGCCAGCCGCCTACCACCCCCCGCCCCGGGGCATCACAGACTGAGTTCAGCTGCCCCGTCAGCCACCACACCCGCCACCGCCTCGCCTGCCTCCTCCCCACTCGTCCACTGGAGGGCCCCATCCCTGCTCCCCATGGGGACGCCTGGCATGGGACTCCAGGGCCCCCCACCCCCCGCAGCAGGGCCTCCTTCCAGAGTCCTGCCCGGTCTGCAAGGCCGTTTCCCAGAGAGGCCCCTTCACAGCAGGTGAGGACGCGCCCAGTCCCCACAGGAGTCAGCTCCTCTCTTGCATCCAGCTTCTCATCCCTTAACATGAGGGTCTCCCCTGGCCTGGCCGGAAGCTTCCAGAAGCAGCTGCAAGAGGAAGACCTGGAAGCAGGCATGGGGTGAGGGCAGCCCCCCAGGCTCGAAGAGCTGTCCTGAACCTCTGGGTCACTGTGGGTCCGCGGGGCCCTACCTTCTGGGGGCCACCTGCGCCAGCACTGACCGCACCGTGAAATGTCACGCCGTGTAAGAGGAGTGCCCAAGTCCCCCACGGTGACCCCAACACCCGCCCATGTTCCAGGACAGCGGCCTCACAGCCCCCATGGCCACCCCAGCAGGCAGGACCCTTGGGGTCAGGGTAGGTCCCCTCCAAGTGTGGTGAGGCACCTGCGGACAGCCCCCATGGACCACGCTGCTCTGGCGTCTGGCGTCATCAAATGCCCCTCTCCCCCTGCCCCCACCCTGTCAGGCCAGCTCCAAGCCCTGGGCTTCAGGACTCCCTGCCTGCAGGTCAGGGCCCGGCTTTGCCTCCCTCAGAGGTGACCCTGGGTGTGTGGCTACATCACAGTACCCTCTGCACGTGGCCTCGAAGGGCTGAATTGCATCCATGCACCACCCAGTCTCCCGCAGCACCCAGGGCCCTCACATCGGCCCCCACCTGGAAACAGAGCGGCTGCCAATTAATGAATTAGGATGGGCCGTGCTGGAGCATCCTGGTCAGCGTCCCCACAAAGAGGAGGAACCTGGACACACACATGGGGGGTCGGCCATGCGAGGACCGAGGCCTCAGGAGGAAGCCTGACCCCTTAGCTCTCGGCCGGCTGGCCTCCAGGGCTGCAAGACAGAAACACGCCACCGAAGCCACTGGTCCGTGGAGCTTGGTCACTGAGGGCCCAGGAAGTGGGTGCAGAGCTGTCTTTGGGGAGCCCAGGGGGAGACTTTGGCTCCAGAACTTCCCACCCCCAGAAGGGGCGCCCCAGGCCCATGGCTGCCAGGAAGTGGGGGCGCTAGTGCAGCCTCCGCCAGCGGCTGCCCACACCAGCACACAGGAAGCAGCGGGGCCGGCTCTCGCCATCAGAGTGAGACCGAGAGGCGCGGTATGACTGGCGGTGTCGAAACGCAAGGCGCAGGCAGTGACACAGGAAGGGAGCTGGGTCCCAGCCGCACTGAGTCACCGGCCCGTCGCTAAAAACAGCCACATCACCAGACCCTCTGAACCTTGTTCTTCCTAACTCCAGCTCAGGGGGCTCTGAGCCGCGGATGGGGTGGTGAGACTGCTGTGCCCAGAGAGCTCCCTCTGGGCCACACTCGGCCACACGCCTCACTTCCCCTGGTTTGTTCCACAACAGCCTGGTGGCAGGCGGCACCAGCCCCCTGCACAGCTGGGGGGGCGGCGGCTGCGGGCCTGTCCTGCCAGGGGGCCTGTGCGGAGCCAGGGTGTGCCCTCACGTAGGAACTCAGATCACACCCCGCTGGCCGCGGTCCCTGCAGTGTGCACAACATTGGCACCTTACCCCCACCACGGCACAGCCCCCCACGGTCAGCATGGTGGATCGCCCCCCACACCTCACTGCTGGTTCTAGCCCGGCGAGGGGCTTCTCTGAGACTCAACCCTCTGGGCGGGACCTGCTATGTGCGCAGACAGTGTCGGGCATGGCTCCCAAGAACCTCCGCCTAGTGGAGCCTTCGAGGACGGCAGGGCCTGCAGGACGCCCAGTCCCCTGAGCACACACTTCTGCAAGGGGCCAGGGCGCCCACAGAGACATCAGCCTGTGGACCAGTCTGTCCCTGGTCACAGGCTCAGACAGGCAGGAGACCAGGGCACAAAGGCAGGTGACCCACCCACAGAGCCGCCCACGCCTGGGCAACGGCACCACAGCCCAGGGGCAGCTGCCCCACCGCACTGTTCACACTGAGACCCGCAGGCCTGGGGCCCGGGCTCCCAGGGGCCCAGCGGTGCTTGCGGAGGACACACCGCCCGGCGCCGCTCCAGGCCGCTCACGAGAAGAGCCAAGAACCAACGTGCAGAGAGTGAGCCGGATCGCCCCAGACACGCCTCTCAGGCCTGCACTGGGGCTGGTGCAATGCAGGGCGCCCGGCCCACGCTCCCCACGGGGCAGAGACGGAAAGAGCAAACCCCTGCCAAGGGCCCCCGCAGGCGCCTGACTTGCAAAGTGAGCCAGGAGCAAATCAGGGACACGGGAGAGGAGGTGCCACCAGAGTTGCAGGAAGCCCTGCACTGGCCGGGGCAGGCGTGGGGGAGGGGCCCGGGCACTGCCTAGCCTACTCCTGCACCGGATCCCGGTCACTCTGGAGGGCTCCCCACCCCGCTGGGCCTTGGGGCTCCCTGATCAAGTCAGGGGTTTTGGGGTGGTTTTAAGAGCCATTCGGTTCACTGCCTACCATGGTGGAGTAGCAACCTGGAGCCCTGAGTGACCCCCAAGGGCCAGTCCTGCTGAGGGGCCTGGGTACCTGGTGGGAGCGAGGAGGGAGCAGGAGAACAATGTGGAGGGAGGAGGCCAGTGCCCAGCAGCAGCTCCTGGGACAGGAGGGTCTCCCCAAAGCCTCCATAGAAGGGCCAAGAGGTTGCACGTGGCCCCAGGGCCTCTCCCCATGAACCTGCGTCCATGGGGCCCTTGCCGACTTCCAGAACCTACGGGGGCGGGGGTGCCTGTGCTGGGGGCTGGGAAGAGAGAGTCTGAGGGCCACTCTCCCTTGAGGAGCCCCCCACCCACGGGACTTGAGGGGAAAGGGCTCTATGCCCCCCAGCTCCGAAAGGACAGAGGGTCCTCAGGAGAGAGGAAAGAAAAGGGAGCCGGGCATGTGATTGGAGACAGGTGAGGGCACCGGGTAGGGGCAGCCAGGCAAATGCCAGGGAGATGATTAGAGAGCTGGCCAGGGACCCAGGCTGAGCACAGGCGGAGGCCCCATGGGGAGGGATGGGTGACACAGGCCCAGCACGTCCATAGCCTCACCCCCTGCCGTCCCGCCCGCACACCCAGCAGCCCCTCAGACCCCAGCCCCCAGGCGCTGAGCTGCCAGCGGCAAACACCCCTGGGCCCCCCCCCGGGCACCTGTCCCCCCCGCCGCCCCCTGCCTCGGGCCTCCCAGAGCCCTGGCTGTTTGCCCTGCACCCGACAGGCCCTTGTTACTCACTGACAGTCAGAGGGCGTGGGCCGGTAGTAGAAGGATGGCACCTGGGACTCATACATGGCCCTGGCAGCGTCGTTCCCGTGGGCGGCCATGAACTGAGAGAGAGAGGACAGGGGCCCCGTCAGAGCGGCCAGAGGGCCGGTCGTCGCTGGCCAGGACCCCAGAGCCCTCTGGTCTCAGGGACACCACCTGGGATGAGGGGATGGGACCGAACTGACCAGGAAGCAAGTTTTTTAAAGCTGATTTTAAAGTTCATCTTAAAAGTTAGGAGTAAAAGTACTCTGGAAGATTCCGACCGTGAGGACTCTTTCCAGCAGATGTTGAGACCTGTGGCAACACCAGCACAGGCGTAGAGGGGCATGGCACTCGAGGGACGACACCCACGTCCGTCTGGGAGCAGGCCCAGCGGGGGCGGGACGTGGGTCTGACGGCAGTGGCTGTGTGGCAATGGGGACTCGGCCGAAGGGGATGCCCTTCACTGGTGACAGTGTCAGAACAGGTCGAGCCGCCCCATGTGGCGTGGGCAAGCCACAGAGCCGGGCAGGAGCCTTGTGGGGCACAGGTGGGGGTGGCTGGCGCCATGGAGGCCCCTCTGAGGGGACGGAGACGCTTCAGATGTAGACAGAGGTGGCAGCTGCCCAACATCGAGAATGTGCCGGAGTTGTTCACTTCATTTTTTTCCTTTAAATATATTTATTGATCATGCTATTACCATTGTCCCATTCCCCCCATTTCCTCCCCGTCCTGCACAGCCCTCTCACTCCCATTGCCCCACCCCCCGCCTTAGTTCATGTCCATGGGTGGTACCTACGGGTTCTTTGGTTCTCCATTTCCTGTACGCTATCCTTGCCTTCCCCCTCGTCTATTTTCTACTTGCCATTTATGCTGCTTGTTCTCTGTACCTTTCCCCCCCCTCCCCCTTCTCCCTGCCTCTCCTCGCTGATAACCCTCCATGTGATCTCCATTTCTGTGGTTCCGTTCCTGCTCCCGTCGTTTGTTTTTGGTTTTGTATTTTTTTAGGTGTGGTTGTTAATAGTTGTGAGTTTGTTGTCATTTTCTGGTTCATGTTTTTTACCTTCTTTTTCTTAGATAAGTCCCTTTAACATTTCATATAATAAGGGCTTGGTGATGATGAACTCCTTGAACTTGACCTTATCTGGGAAGCACTTTATCTGTCCTTCCATTCTAAATGAGAGCTTTGCTGGATAGAGCAATCTTGGATGTAGGTCCTTGTCTTTTATGACTTGGAATACCTCTTTCCAGCCCCTTCTTGCCTGTGAGGTCTCTTTTGAGAAATCAGCTGACGGTCTGATGGGAATTCCCTTGTAGGCAACCCTCTCATTTTGTCTTGCTGCTTTTAAGATTCTCTCTTTATCTTTAATCTTGGGTAATGGAATTACAATGTTTCTTGGTGTATTCCTTCTTAGGTCCACTTTCTTTGGGACTCTCTGAGCTTCCTGGATTTCCTGGAAATCTATTTCCTTTGCCAGATTGGGGAAGTTCTCCATTTTTTTGTCAAATAAATTTTTAATTTGTTACTCTTCCTCTTCCCCTTCTGGTACCCCTATAATTCAGATGTTGGAACGCTTAAAGATGTCCTGGAGGTTCCTAAGCTTCTCCCCATTTTTTTGAATTGTTGTTTCTTCATTCTTTTCTGGTTGAATGTTTCTTTCTTCCTTCTGGTCCACACCATTGATTTGAGTCCCAGTTTCCTTTCCTGTCACTGTTGGTTCCCTGTATATTTTCCTTTATAACCCTTTGCATAGCCTTCATTTTTTCCTCTATTTTGCAACCACACTCAACCATTTCTGTGAATATCCTGATTCACCAGTGTTTTGAACTGTGCATCTGATAGGTTGGCTATCTCTCCATCACTTAGTTGTATTTTTCCTGGAGCTTTGATCTGTTCTTTCATTTGGGCCACTTTTTTTTTTTTTTTTTTTTATTTCGGTAGGCCTGTTTTGTAGTGAGTGAGGGCTGGAGCCATAGGTGTTCACCAGGGCGGGGAACCCACCCACTGTGTTGTGATGTGGTCTGAACAAATGTTTCTTCTTTAACTCCTTGGTTGTCGGACTTCCATACAGTTCAATTTTCTGGCAGCTCTTCTTGTATTTTTGTTTTTAAATTGTCATTGTCCTTCTTTTGGCTGTGCGAGGAGGCCCAGTGTGTCTCCCTACACCTCCATCTTGGCCGGAAGTCTCTCTTTTCCAAGTTGTTCACTTAAAAATGGTGAGTTCTGCACTGTGTCAATTCCACCTCAATTACCTAAAAATTATGTGGACGGCTCCTAAAAGAACACAAACTATACCTTTTGCATTAAAAAAAATTACTGAAAAAGGAAGTTAAGAGCCAACCCACAGTGAGAAAAAGTGTTTACAAATTCCACAAGTGAAACTAGACTTGAATCCAGAATATTAGAACTGTTCGTAATATAATAAAAACTCCTAACACCACAATAAAAAGACAAACAGCCCACTTTTAAAATGGGTAGTGGATTCGAACAGACGGGTCCCCAAAGGAGGCTACATACGGCCAAGCAGCAGGTGGAGAGACACTGAGCACCCTCAGGTGGCAGGAGCACAAGCTCCCGGCTCACGCCCACGGGGATGGCTGGCGTCTTGGGGCAGCTGGGATGCTGTGCCCTGCTGTGGGGAGTGGGCGCTGGTCCAGACCGGCAGCCCGGCAGGTCCTTGGTGTCAGACGCAGGGTCACCAGGAGACTCAGCAATGCTCCTCCAGGGCAGGGAGAGCAAAGGTGCCGCAGGGACACCACGCAGGTGCTGGCAGCAGCAGAGAGAGACCCCCAAGTGGCCATCAGCTGAACACAGACACCATGTCCATCACACCATGGGTGGAACTTTGGACATCTCAACCCTGCTTCAGGCGGTGTGGCCCCAGGGCCCTGACCGGCCCAGCAGGCACCACACCCAGGAGGAGAGGGGCTCTGGGTGGGGACTCCGGGGCGGGGCTGGGGAGGGGCTGCTGGTGGTGCCCAGCCCTTCAGGACAGGAAAATACTGCGGGACGAAATGCCGGTGGGGGCACAGCCCTGCGGACTGTGTGCTCTGGACCCGTGAGTTTCTCCCCAGTCCAGCTGCTGCGAGGAAGAAGGACCCTGGGGCCGAGCGGGCCTGAGACTGCGATAAACCCTGAAGCCACAGGAGTCAAGGCCAGTAAATCGGACCACATCCCAATGGAAGTTTCCGCTGTAAAACCCTCATGAGCAAAGTCGAAAGACAAACAACCTAGAAAATCCCTTCCAGCTCCTGCCTGGAAGGGTTGACACCCTCAAGTGTAAGACCTGGAGGAAGCGGAGCCAAGGGGCCTCAGTGGGCAGACCCAGAGCCACCACAGGAGCGGATGCCCCATCCTACTCAGAATAAGGGGAGGCCCAATGGGCACTATGGGGCCACAGCTTCTCCTCCCCAGCCAAGGAAGAGCGCCAGGCAGGGGCTGGTCCCCAAGCTCACACAACGTACCCCCACCTGTACCAGGGGCCACCACTGCAGACCAGGTCCCAGGGCTGGGAGACGGGGCCCACCCATGCTGTGTCCTCCCAGGGGTGCAGACAGGACAGGGCACCCGCCCCACCCCACCCCTCCCTGCAGACCTGCGGGGCCAGGAGCAGCGGCCGACAGAGGTCAGAGGTCGCAGGTGTCTGAGCAGCACCCCCTCCGGATGTGGCCTCAGGTCACGTCGGTGTGGTTGCCAGGGGACCCAGCCCAGGGCGGCCTCTGACCCGCCTTTCGGAGCCACATGTGCACGAGTGTCAGGTGTTTCCGGCAACACCAGGTGCGTGTCCCAAGCACAGAGACCTCGTTAAATGTGGGTTCTGACTCGGCTGGTGGACCTGGGAGGCCCAGGACTCTGCATTTCTAAGGAGTTCCCAGGGGAGGCCGATGCCCCCAAGTCACAGTGACAGAGGGAACTAGTTTCTCCCAGGGAGCAGCACAGGAGCCAGCAGCCCTGGACCCCGTCCCCAGGGCGGCCCCTGCTGAGCCACCACCGCGCCTCCTGCAGTGAGACCTCCAGCAGCTCCTCCGCTCACCAGTCTCCCCATGGCCACCACGGGGTCAACCCCCGGCACCACCCCCACCCTCCTCTGGCCCCCTCCTCCCCGCCCGGTGGTCTCCCCAGCCAGAGTCTGCTCCCTCTCCTATTTGGGCCATGGGGGGCACCCTCCTGCCGCCAGAGCCCAAGTCGCCGCCCTGTGTACTGCCTGTGTGTTCCTGCCTACCCCTCCTTAGCGCCTCCCCAGGGCCAGCGACCCCCACCCTGGCCCTACCAGCCCTCCTGCAGCGGAGCTCACCAGATGTGGCTCAGGGAGGGGCGGGTGGGCCTGTCCCTCTGCACAGGTGAGCCCCAGGGGCTGGGATCGGAGGGTCCTGCGCCCTCTCTCTGCAGCTGCCCCACGAGGGGGCGGGAGAGCCGGCCCAGACAGAGCAGACGGTGGGCAGGTGCAGCTGCACAGCAGGGACCCTGGCGGTGTCGGTCCCTGCCAGGCCGAGCCGAGGGTGGCCCTGAGGGTCCCCTGCCGCCCGGGCGTACCTCCACTTGGGCCTCCTCCCAGGTGTCCAGGCGGACGGACTTGACCTTGCTGATCTGGGGGATGTTGCGGTGGATGCCAGAGCAGCTGAGGCAGATGAACACACCCAGGGTGTAGGAGGCCCAATCAGGACCTGGAAGGCAAAGGCCAGAGTCTGGGTCAGAGGGCGCCGTGGTACGAGGCTAGGGGTCAGGGCCCAAAGCCCAGCCCCACAGGGGCCACCTTCTGGTCTTGGTCTCCCCATCTGCACCAATAGGCAGCAAGTGAGGAGATGCCCAGGGTCACCAGCCACATGGGCCCCAGGCAGGGCACTGTGCCCCACAGAGGGGCAGCAACCCTGGGGCCAGAGCAGCCCAGACCCCAGAGTGGACGCCATGTCACATGGAGGACCCTGACAATGGCAACCTCAAGGACAGACTACATGCCCAATGCCAGCATGTGATTAGCACCTGTGTGTCTGGCATGACAAGGACCGTGGTGTGACTGTGCCCACGACACACCGGGGTGAGGGGACTCGTCATGCAAGCAGTTTACTCAAGGAGGTACATGTGGGTGACGTGTCAGAGTCTCACTGACCGATGACAAAGGAACCATGGAGGGTGACACTCTCTCTGTGTTGGGCACATCACCGAGTGAATCTGGCTGTCGCCAGGAACCCACAGAACCTTTGGATGAGGCAGGTTGAAACCGAGATGCCCGCCGAGGCCACGGGCTGCAGCGGGGTACGTGAGGGGGTCCCTGGAGGCCGGCTGCACCCACCAACCCCCTGGCCCTTCTCGGAGAACAGCAAGCACCGTCCCGCCCCTTGGGGACCACGGTGGAGGGTCCAGGGAACATGAGGGGTGCTGTGTGGACGTGCCCTGCTCAGAGCACAGGGCTGGGAGGCTGCACCCACAGGCCAGTCACCACAGGCCACCCCTCACCCTGCCGGACTGGGGACCTGGCCGCACCCCACTGCAGGGACCTTCAGAGAACACACTTCATCCGGTACCAGGAGGTCAGAGCCGTTCCTCAGACACCACACGGCTGGGCCTCAGGTCTGCAAGGATCTGCATGGTGTGGGCACCTGTGAGTGTGTGAGCATGAGTGTGCACACCTGTGAGCATGTGGGGTGTGCAAAGGGGGAGCAGAACCTCAGGTGAAGGGATGTGTCACGTACCCACACACTGGGCCAGGTCACCTTCCAAAAGGTCGGTGGCCGGTCCTGGGGGGCAGGTGGTACTGGCTGTGCACCCGGCCCCACCCACAGAGCCCCGGCCCCCATCCTGAGGGCTTAGCTAGGTCTGAGGGAGCAAATGGAGGCAGATAGCTGGCCCAAGACACACGGCTTCTGAGTGACACTCGGAACAGACAAGCTTCTGTTGTGTCACCTGCAGGCCCCAGTCCCATCGGCCAATCTGGGGGCTGTGGGCTGGGAGCCGCCTCCCTGGGTGGGAAGGCAGGAGGGCAGGCTCGCTAGTGTCTGCAGGGTGGGGGCCTAGGTGGCCTGGGGGTGTGGGGAACGGCAAGGGCAGGGACCACCAGAGAACCTGAGGCCTCAGAGCCCTGGTTCCAGGGCCCCCTCCCACCAGCACAGCTTCCCCCTCCCCGGCACCCTCCACCACCCCACCAGTGCCTCTGTGTCCCCTCCTGGCTTCCTGTCCCCTCTGGCTTCCTGCCCCCACCCTGCTTGCTCAGCCCGCAGTCCGCTGGCCCCAGAAGCCACAGCCATGCTTTCGAGCTTACAGCACACCCACGGCTGTTTGGGAGAGCCCACAGAACTGTCCCCCCACACCTCCTCCCACCCCTGCTTCTGGTGGCTGCGTCCCCAGCACCGGGGGTCCTCCCCACCCTGCACACTGGAGGTCAGATATCACTGCACACAGAAGCCCCCTGACACCAACTAGGGCCCCTCCATGAGTCCTCAGACACGCCTCTCATTTCTTCACAGCATCTGCCTATTTAGGGGTTTACAGAACACTATTTACATCCCCAGAATGTAAAGGGGGGTCAGATGTCAGGTTTGCCGCCGCCCCTCCCAGCAGCCTTGGTCGAACAGACGCTGCACTGCCCCCAAAAGCCCCGTCCCTGAGCTCCCTTCTTCCACTGCAGACTGACGGCCTGGGATGCCAAGGGCTGGGAAGGCAGGGACCTGAGGAGACACGGTGGGGCCCGCGCTGCGGGGGGTACCCTGAGGGGACAGTGGACCTGGGATGGGGAGAAGGCCACGTCCCCCAGTTCTGAGCCTCCCCGCCCGAGGCTCTGGCTGCCACTGACAGGAGAGCAAAGGTTTCCCCGCCCCCGTGGCCGCCGCAGCTCTGAGTCTCCCCTGGGTCTGCTGTTACTCAGACGCTTGACCGCTGCAAGGACCCTGCCGACCCAGTGCGGGAGTTCCTGCTTCGGGCCAGGCCCCGCCCCTCACCCACCCCCCCACGCCGCTGCCCCGCAGCTGCTCCAGGACACTGCAGGGGGCGTCGGGTGCGGCCGCCCTCCGGACCGGAGGAGCCAGCTCCCTGTTTGCGAAAACGCTGCCCCTACAGGAAATGAAGAAATCCGGACCGAAAGCCCATGGGTCGGGGAGACAGAGAGCAGGGAAGGGGGGCCCACGGGTCACAGACACAGCGACCAGCGGGGCGGGGGGCAGCTCAGACCCCAGGGATACCCGGCGGGACACCCAGGGGTGTGTGTGATGCCCGCGCAGGCCACCAGGCTGTGGCCACCGCAAGCTGGAGGCGGGGCATCTGGGCGGGGCCTCCGGGGGCGGGGCCTCTGGGGCGGGGCCGCCAGGGCAGAGATGGGGCTGGTAGCCCCAGCAACAGGTTTGGGGCGGAAAATCACACGGGCTGGGCTGTGGGGTTTCTCCCAGAGCTGGAAGGGGAGCTGTGGCTTCTTCACACCACTTGCGCCCAGTGGCCGACTCTGCAGGACGCAGCAGGGTCAAGTAGTTGTGAGAGACCCCGTGGCCCACAAGGCCTAAAAATATCTCCCGTCCAACCCTTTAAGGGAGCATTAGGCCAAGCCCAGCGTTAGAGGGACACAGGGTGTGGCGGTGCCCAGACTCTCAGTTGCTCTCTCCTCTCCGACAATCACACTGAGGGTCAAAGCCAGGCCACACACCTGCCTGACCCCCTGCTGCTGGCTCCAGGACCCGTGGGTGTGCAGCTCAGGGCTGGGGGGCCCACGCTGGTCGTCCACCTGGTGTGCGTGTGTGAGGCTGGGCACGCTCATGTGCAGGCCCACTACCCAACTTGAACAGCTGCTCCTAAAAAGGGTTCAAGTTAAGAAATGGAGACACTAATCCTTTCATATAATGAAAAGCCTACAAGCCCCCCCCCCCACCATTTCAGCCAGGTCTGCCCCCCTCTGCATAAGCCTCTCCCACCATCTGAGCCAGGAGACAGGGGCGGGGGTGTCCTCGTGTATACAAAACACAGGCTCCTGCGCTCTGAGCCCCTCCTGGTGGAAGGACAGCCTGCGGTGGGCGTACCTGGCAGGGCCACCCCAGCACCACGGCCCCTTTGACTGACCCAGAGCCCCACCCTGTAGTCCCAGGCTCCACTCCCCAGTGCCCCTCCTCCTAGGCCAAACGGAGGCCCCTGTCCCTAGCCTGCTCCTTCTCGCTGGTCCCCTGAGGGCACCTGCGACTCAGGAACCCCCTGCCCAGCCTGCAGGAGTCAGCCTGCAGGGCCCACGTGCCCCCAGGGTGGACCACCAGGCCAGGGCTGTTGAGGGCCTGGTTGCAGCAGCTGACACCCGCCTGGCAGTAACAGGAGGGGTGGGACCGGAGCCAGGCTGAGGCTCCAAGCTCACGCCCACCCCAGCCTCACAAACTGGGTGGGGCAGCCGGGAGTCTCCCACCACTGGCAGACCCGGAGACATGGCCTGGGGCAGACTGTCTTGGGTCACCGGCTCCCTCCTGGTGGCTGCTCTGGCAGTGGCCCCGGCTGACAGCACCTGCATCTGCCCCTGCTCCACCGGCCTCTCCAGGGCAACTCTGAGGTGACTCAGCTCCCTTCCCTTTTCTGGGATGTGGTCTGAGACACCTGGACAGGTGAGGCAGGTGGGGCTCAGCCAGGCAGAACAGGTGTGTCCCCACAGCCAAGGCCTGGGGTGGGGGCAGATAATGAAGTCTGGGACTATGGGTTGGTCGGGTGAGTCCTGCGGCCGAGTTCCAGAGACCTTTGTCCAGCCCGAGGAGAGGCCCAGAAGAGAAGGTGGCTAGGGTTCTGGGGTTCAGTGGTGACAGCAGGTGGGCAGGGTGGGGGCCAGCCGAGGCAGGGCGGGGACAGGGTGTTGCCCACCACACCCCAGTTTCTCACTTAAGTGCCCACCCTGTGTGGCAGCCCAGGCCCCTCACCCTGCTGCTCTGTCACCTCCACACAAGAGGCAGCCGGGTATTCACCCTCTTATCCGGTCTCCCCACTGGCGTCTAAGCCCTGGGGGAGGGCAGAGAGGGGCGGCCCCAGAGGGGTCCCAGCATCTGCTGTTTGCGTGCGCAGCAGCGCCGTCCCGGCAGCTGCACTGCGGAAGCAGCGTGAGTGCCCATCAGTGGTGAGTGGGTACGTGACGTGTGACTTTCCCACCCAGTGGAATACTACTCAGCCTTAAAAAGGAAGGAAATGGAAACCACACAGAAGCTGGGGCAGCCCCACACAGATCAGAGAGAACAGACTTCAAGACAGAACCACGAAAGAAACAGGAGTTTCCTTACTTAGGTGGTGATGAAGTCAGTCAGACAAGAGGACGTGACTTCTGTGACTACGGCTGCAGCCCCCACAGGAGCACCTGAACACATCGTGCAAACATTAACAGACTCCCTGGGAAAAACAGCAATGGAGCCCCACTGCTGTGGCTCAGTGGATTGAGCACCGGCCTGTGAAGGGTGGTGTGTTTGATCCCCAGTCAGGGCACATGCCTGGGTTGCTTGAGGCAACCACACATCGATGTTTCTCTCCCTCTCTTCCTCTCTCCTTTCCTCTTTGTCTAAAAATAAATAAATAAAATCTTTAAAAAAAAATAGCAATCGATGGAATTACAGTAAGGGTCAGTGGATCCATCATCCAGGACGAAATCAGTAAGAAAACAATGGCATCAGAGGACGTGTCAGGCCAGAGGGTGTGACTGGCATTCACAGGACACTTCCTGCAAAGAACG